CAATTCGGCATGTGGGCGTACACAATGCAACTGCCGATCGATCCAACAGGGTTTCTTGCCTTGCCGCCACCACCACCACTCCCCCTCCATCTCCCCTCTTCCATCTCGGGGCAAGAAGAGGGGGCCAAAGAGGCACAAAAAGAGAACCAAGAAAAAGAAATCCATTATCAGATTCGGGAGGTGGAAAGTCTGGAATGGCCCACGGCCGCGGTGTCCTGTTTCCCCCTTTAATGTTTTCAACTCTTTTTTGTTTCCTTCCACACGTCCAGCTAGTCTGCATGGGTCTCAAGAGGCATTTCCCTGGGTAGGAAACTAGAGTGTTAGCTAACTAGCTAGCTAACTCCGCTCTATATGGAGTATGGTGTATGGAGTGCGGAGGTGTTTGTTGTGTGTGTTATACCTCGTACAACTTCTGTAGACACTCTACGGATCATCGTGCCCTGCGCGAGAGACCTCAAGTTCCAAGATGTCTTGGCTGCGGAAGGCCCCCTTTTGTTTGTATGAAGGGTGTATCTGTGACAAACTACGAACAAGGATGCGGAGAGAGGTGTTCCATTTTTCGGGAGCTTCACAGAGATTTTGTCGATGATGGCCGATCTCGTTGAGTAGAAAGAGAAAGTGCAGTGTTTTCACGTCTAATGGCTCTCTGGTGCTGCGACGAGTTCGGTCCCCTTGCATTCTGACTCCTGTGTTCGATGGACACTGTAAATTCCTGACTGGCCAGAGCATATCAAGTTCATATGTAGGTTCCTAGACTAGCAGCATTCCCTCCGGTCACCGCGCAACATGATATGGAAAACGCCAGCATCCGTTTGACGTTAGCCCCCCCCCCCCCCCCACGTGCCAGTCTCCAGGGTGGTCAGGGTCACGCCGGCGCGCTATCCGCAATCTCGCCGTTCTCGACCACGGCCTTCTTCGCCGCTTCGGCCTCCTTCTCCAGCTGGTCCTTGGGCAAGGCAATGCTCAGCGGCGGCAAGCTGGTGCTGACGTCCTCGCCATACTTTGGCGCGCGCAGATCGTCCGGGTTCACCATGTGTCCGGTGACGGGGTGTGCGTAGTGGAAAGGTACGACGCGCGTGTCAGGCCACAGCATCTTCTGTTCGATCAGCTCATCCGGACCCATGGGGTCTTCTGGAAACGTCCTGGTCGGCCAGGGGACGTAGTTTTTCTTGGTGTGCGCCCATCCGCGCTCAAAGTCGGCGTGCCAGAAGGGGAAGTATCGGTAGCGGAAGGGCTTCCACACGCCGTCTTCTTTGATGTACTCGTTCTCATATAGCCCGCCCTCCCACCACTGCGCGTGCCCCCGCGGGTGCTCCTCCTGGATCGACTGGTGCGTGCCGGCCGACATGAGCGCGCGGATCCGCGCCCACGCCCTCGTCCCCGAGGGGTCCACGTCCACAATGTCTTGCATCATCGGGTGGTCGAGCAGGAAACCGTGAACGGGCCCGTTGCGGCCCTTGACGAAGTGCGTCTGGAACCGCCCTATGTAGAGGCGCCGGATGCCTTCCTTGCGGCGGTAGCGCGAGCCCAGGAATTCGACGTATGCGTCCGGGTGGTTGGAGAACATGTCGACGACCTACTTTTAAGACTTCCCGTTATGTTTCTTGCTCCTTCGGTTTTTTTCCTTACGTCTTTGCGTGGCTGGGGTGGCGAGAGGGGGCGTATTCAACTGACCTCATTGTATAGACACTTGTCAAGGTAATATCCATATTTGAAGTGGACCTTTCTGATTTCGGCCTCGTCTAGGATCATGGTTGTCTGAGCAACACTTCATCCCCTTTTTGGTGTTTTGCTTACCCTCTACTTTCTGCAGTTTGGAATGTAGTCTCTTGACTTCAGCCTTGAGCTCGGCGAGCTCGGCCTCCATTATGTGCCTGTCTGTCTTCTATTCCCGCTAATTCTTTTGCTTTTTTTTCCCCCTACCAAGAGCCGTGGATCGAAAGAGCAGCTACAGTACAGCTTGCCTGAAATGGAGGAACCTTCAAAAGGCCCAACAAAATTGAGGACGTATGCGTAGCTCAACTTGTTCTCGTCGTGTGGTTCTGTCTATAAGAGGGGGATTAACCTTTTGTACAATGCCGCCGTCCTTTCACGACCCGCAAGGTATGTACTCCGCAATTGTCACCCCGATTACTCGCAATGGGCCGTTCTCCGAAAAGAGCGAATGCCCCATTTCGAAACCTGCTAGGGTCCCGCGGTGCTAAACACTTGTACAAAACCAACTCGTCAGAGGGTACTTGCAGGGCGGGGAGGGTCCTCTGAAGCCGGCGTTTTTGATTGACCCATTGTTGGGATTGGTTATGTGCAGGGACCTGAGTACGGGTTGAGGACTTCTAGAGTCCAGCAGACTCCTAGAGCACGTTCCAGGGAGCAGGTCAATAATGAAGCTACGACTGTACCCTCTATGTCTTACGGGGGACCTCATGCTTTCTCATGATGCCCAAGGGGCAGGCACAATGGCGCTGTTGTTTCTTTCTGGGCCGTCACAACTCGCGCGTCTGCTCTTTCCACCACCAGACAGGCCCAGGACACAGTCCTTTCATGTATGTCAACTGCCGAAGTAGCGACCACAGATCCGCTCACTCTTCTGGTTCGCTCGGGCTTGAAACAGATAAGGATTTTCCTCCCTCTTGGGATCGTCGTTCTTCTTCCCCGCTACCCCGCGTGGGGTCCCATACTTTCCGAAAAGGGGGCAGACGAGGCTGTGGAAACGAGGAGTGTTTGACAACCATTCACGTGTTGTCCTCTCTCCATCAGGTATTATGTGATAATCTTCCATTCTGCTATTTCGAGGCTTCGCAAGCTTGTCAATCACGGGTTCCGAAGCAAGAAAACCTCCCGTGGGCGGAGCTTTGCCGGCCCTGTGACAAGCATACGCATATAGCGGGCTTGAAGATTTTTCCATTCACCGACTTCCAAATCTATCTTTCTTGACTTTCCCGCCAACCCACACTTTGGCCAGATTCCTATCATCCCCTGTCATGACCCATTTCTCCCAGATCCGCCTGATGCCTTCGGGGCTCTGGCTTTCACCATCCAGCATAGTGTGTACCCCATCAAAATGCCCAGACTCGTGGTGGTAGGGGTCACTCATGTCGACCAAGATTGCATCCAACTGTTTTCCAACCTCAAACGATCCGAATCTGTCCTCAATCCTCAGGACCCTTGCACCTCCCAGCGTCGCCATGTAAAAGACCTCTTCTAGTTTTAGTCTTCCCTCCTTACCCCCCGACAACATTTCCCGTGCGTTACCCACAATCAAAGCGAGCCGCATTGCGTCCATGATACTGCACGAAAACCCACCGCCAGAATCAGTGCCCAATCCGATTTTGGTAATCCCGTCGGATAATAATTTCCGGATCGGGGCTGCCATGAAGCCACCACCGACAGTGGTGTTTGAAGCTGGGCAATGGGCTATGCCACAGTCCCGTTGCTTTATTTTTGCCTGGTCGGCCTCGCTGAGAAGTGTACAGTGTGCAAGCACTGAATTGCGGTCAAACAGCCCATAATGCGCGTATAAGTCGGCTTCGCAGCTGAATTCCTCGTACTGTTTTAACGTGGCATCGATTTCTTGTTGAGCTTCGCAGAAGTGAGTTTGATTGGCGATCCCTTGTCCCGCGCTATAGGCGTGCTCGTACTCCTTGGCCAGTTTGCCTAGCTCGGTCAATGATTCCGGCGTACAGCTTATTGCGAACCGGGGTGTCAGGATTGGCCTGACAACGTCTCCTTTCTCGTCAACGGCTCGACAATGCTGGATTATTTCTCTTGTTCCTTCTACCGCTGCCGCGGTATCTTCTCTGTAGTATTCCGGGTTGGTCTCGGTATTATCCATGCACGTCTTGCCCACGAATGCACGTTGGCCCTTATCGAGACAAACATCCACGAGAGTCTTCGTTGCTGGCGTGTGCAGGCTGCCGAAGTAGCATGCGGTGGTGACGCCCTGGCGGAGGCCCATCTCCACACACCTTGCGTAGACTTGCCTCGCGTAGTCAGTGTCGTGGAATTTCGCCTCGTGTGGGAAGGTAATCTGGTCAAGCCAGTCCAGGATATGGAGACCTTGGCCAAGGCTGCGCATCGAGAATTGAGGTGCGTGAACATGAGTATCAATGAAAGACGGGACAAGGAACTGGTTGGGAGATTCCAGGCGAACGACAGGTATACGGGCATCAGGATGGTTAATCAACGCCGGAACTATACCCTCCAGGGCTCGGCCATCTTCCGTCTGGAAATGTGGATAGATGTGGCTTATCCTGCCTTTATCATTAACGATGATCAGCGTATCGTCGAGAATTTCAATCTCTGACGGGGACCGAGAGTGGATCAAGGTCCCGTAGTATGCAAATGGGCCTTCCATAACTGTCAAGGCGCAGAGGATGCGTAGTTCTTTTGTGAAGCGAGCGCATGAAAGAGTTGCCGTGTACTAGTCCGTGCCTTGCGGAACAATAAACCCCACTGTGAAGCTTAGGAAGCCTGTAGGTCGATCGTCTCAATTCGGAGATTTTTTACCCACATTCGGTTCACCTGCCAATTCCGGAGTACTCCTTAACCCCTCCAGCCTTGCCCTTCCTCAAGCCTCTTCTCCCCCCTTTCCAAATGCTGACCTTATTCAGCTTTGAAAGACAAGAAGCTTTTCAAACAACCGGACTGCACTGATTTTTGCATGAGCGCAAGGAGATTCCGATTTTGGCATCCACATTCCAGATAGGTGGCAATTTCTGGGGTTGAGCACTCAGCCTTTGCATCTGCCGGGTCAAGGCTGCTCAGAGGTTGTCAAACTCCTTCTTTTTGCCATCTGATACAAGTTTCAAGCAATCTTTCAGATGCGATCCCCCATATCGTGATACATGTCGGATTTTCTCTGCCTTGATTTGAGAAAGTGACAAGGAAGCTCAGCACCGTGCTCCAGTGGGGGAAGACATATCAAACTGGTGGCGGCAAGGCGAGACTCCCTACTCTGTCAAACCAATTCCGTTAATCCGGCACTCTCCATGTCATTGCGCTTAGCTGTTTTGGCCTGCAGCTCTGACCTCTGCACCTCGATCTTTTTCATCTTGAGCCGGTTCTTCACCCTTTACTTCTTTGCCTTTGGCATCTTCTTTACCTTTGGACTCTTCGCTTTCGGCCTCTGTCTTGAATACAATTTCCATTTCTCGGTAGTAGGTCTCTTTCAACTGCTTCATGGCATTCAAATACCTCCGATGTCTCTCCTCATTCTCCTGTTTCGCTTTTTTTCTCAACTTGCACTTGAAGAGAGAAATGTTTTTCATAATGTGATCATATTTCCTTTGGCCGGTTCTCTCCTTTTTCTCATATTCAGCAGCTGTGGCGGAGAATTCAGTTGCCTTCTTGATGAACACTTCTCTTTTGCGAGCAAATCCTTTTTGTAGCCCTAATTCTGCCTTAGCTGCCTGTTGTATCTTTTCAGCCTTGGTTGTCTTCATGGCATCCAAGTGTTGAGCTCTCCTTTGTACTTCTTGCTCCTTGAGGAGCCATGCGATGGTGGATATTGTTGGCTCTGAGCAGGGCCATGCTGAGAAGCTGTAAGTCAAGATCGCCTTCTAGCTGAAGAGGGGGCCTGCCTTGATTTATTGGGAAGGGTAGGTCACTTAGTTTGGATTCGCCGCCTCTATTGTGACCTGGACCGCACCTAGGCTGTGATTTAGATTGATTGTCCTCTGTTGGTTTCTGTTCTACGGTCTGATCATTTGAAGTGTTGCCCTTGTGGGATCCATCTTGTGCAGTCTGGTCTGTGATAGAACGCCGTGATTTCTCTTCGAGCCTTTCCTTAAATGTCTGAACTTCTTCGATTCTTTTGGCAGTCTGCGATTGATCCCTGACGACCATCATACTTCGACCTCCAGAGTTCCTTTGGAGACTTATTCCAGGTGGAGTAGTTAGACGTTTAAATTGACTCAAGCCGTATGCTGGGACGGATAATACTCACATTCCGAGGTTCATTGGTCCAATTCCAACTATCGTTTCGCCAAACCGTCCTCCTGGAGGGCGTATTGGATGCACGACGGTATTTGAGTCCATCGTAGCTGACCGCGTGCCAATTGCGGTTTTGTAACTTGAACTTAGTGGGGGATTGCTGTCCTTTGCTGAGCCCCTGAGCTCTTAAATATCTTGGGAATCCAAAATAGATTATATCTTAGGAATAGCTAAAACGAAGTACGTAAGAGACTTGGGTCGAATAGCGATAGCTTTTTAATACTTGCGTCAGTTTCTGCGCTCAAGTCTAATCTAAAAAGGCTTTCCGGCGATTAAATACCAAAAGGTCAGCTCATAGGAATTCTTAGACCTCTTCCATTCTTATATTTATACTGAAATCTTGTTACTCGCAGAGGGTATGTCACACCACATCACGCCATTTGCCGCCACCATACAAGACTGTACGTGTACACACCACTCCACACGGCTGAAACTGGACTACACCACACCACTATAAATACTACATGACCACATACTTAGGGATTCTCCTTTGGTCAATTATTGTATAATAAGCTATCTCGACAATCATCCACAGCCACAATACACGGTATATCGCTATACTGATCCAGCCGATGTCATTACTGCGCTCATTATCAAAATTCAGCCGCCAGAAGAGCGATGCAGAAGCCGAGAACATGGCCGCCAAAATCGGAGCGGGATTTCCAGGCCTTGCGCGTCTTTTGGACAGCGACAAGGATAAGTTTCTGATGGTTTTTAACCGCTTTGACCGCCTAGCCGTGCAAAACCTAGTGTATCTGCAAAGCGAACTCTATCATCTTCAAACTGAGCTGGACGCGATGGACAACGAAGACTTAAGGTGTTCTCCGTACGATCCCGATTTTGTTTCCAGGGAGTTGGCCATAAAAAGTTGGAAATACTTGAGAGAAAAGGATGTAAAAGTGATGGGAGGAGCTCCAGAGACCAGAGAGCAGCGGAGATTGAAACTAATTCGAGAGATCAGAGCGACTTTGAAAGAATACCGTGAGCTTTCCGGCAACCCTCTCAATCCAAGACTCGTTAACATCTCATGCAGGTGAAGCAATGCTGCAACAGGTGCAAATCAACAATCTAGACACCCCCTCGGACAAGACGCACTTCGCAATAACCGAAGAGATCGAAACGCACAAGGCAACGCTAGAATTCCCCGATGATGCACAGGCAGTGTACGCGAACATTGATGAACTGCTGTCGCTCAGGAGCCCTGTTTTCCGGGACAGTCTGACTTGCTGGGTCGATTCGCACTTGGAAAAGAGAATGTTCAAGGTCAGCTTGATCTGCTTCCAGACATCTTTTCCGCCGCCTAAACACGCAACAGCACGAACCAAGCAAAGGGGTCGTTTCCTACTACCGGCATGCGCTACTGAGCAATACAGCCAATTCCATCTATGTGGGAATCGCTCTTGCTTGCATGCTCCTTCCAATCTTTGCACTATATGCCGTTGGGAGGTATGCCTCCGAGAGCTATGCTGGGTGGGTTGAACTGGGCATAATTTCAGCCTGTATCGTGTTTTCCCTCATATTCCTCAGCAAAGCGGCCAATCTGGGGCGTTCGGAGATGTTTGCCTCTGCTGCCGGGTAAGTGATTCATTCTGGTGTTATGGCCCCATTATGATCAGGCTAATGTGACTGTGGAGATATCTAGCTGTACTTATCGTATTTGTGGGACTCAATCTGCGTTCATCGTAATGCATCGGGTATCCGTACTCAATGCCTGTTTGCAACAGGGCGCAACAGTGAGTTCTAGGAAGGGGAAGGTTCTCTGTCCGGACAACGTCGACGACATGCTGCCATCCCCTCTGTACTCCTTGGTCTTTTAAGAAGCGATGCGATCGGTTGGTGCTGCGGTTCCTAAGTAGACGATGCTCTTTTCACAATCACAATCTTAATCATTAAGGCCAGACCGGAGCTAAGCACAGCCTGAAAGCGACAGCTCCGGCCCTGGCAAGTACACCTTAAAAATATTGTATACGGACTATACCACTTTTAGGATACTATAACTTGGCCCATTTCTATCACCATTTAATGCCGCTAAGTCCGTGTCGGATCCTTATATTGCTCCTGAATAGTTTTAAGTCGAATACGAGCACAGTATCAGATCTTGACTGCTATAAGGCAAAATTACTTAACATCCCAGGAATGGTGTTCTGACTAAGTTGTCTTCGATATACTGCAACACTCGGCGCAATGGCCCAATCAGCCACACTTGCAGCACTCACTCCACGCGAAGCCGTCGCAGATGCTCTCCACCGCTGCATCCTTGGTCTCGACAGCAATGACTGGGACCTATTCGAGTCCGCATGTTTGAAGGACGAAAGCACGACTGTTATTGCCGGTCCGAACACTATCCAGGGCTGGACTGCGATCAGCGAGTCCATGTCCAGGGTCTTCCTTCTGGTCACCACACATTTCATCACCAATATCCGCGTTGAGCTGAAGGACGTCGCGGACACGGCGTCCATGACCGCGCACGCAGTCGCGTATCATGTTCGGCCTGATGATGCATTCAAGCCGGAGGATACTTCGTACACGGCGGGATGCTTGTACTTTATGGATCTGGTGAGGGACAGCACTGATGGCTTATGGAAGATAAAGAAGTGGGAGATCAAGATCCAGTGGACTTCTGGTGATAAAGCGGTTCTCCATGGATGAGCTTTAATCTTGGCCCCATGAGATCCCGTCTTAGGTGATAGGCCAGACGGAGAGATGTTGCAAATTTCTTGATGGAACAGTATTATGTCCGATCCCTGCCAGTTCTTGAGTGAGTGCTTATTTGTTTTGTCCATCGGCGACCGCTGGCAGGCGAGATTTAAAGACAGCCAGCTCCTGCACCCTTTATTCGGGCAGAGTGCCCAAGAGCATCCAGGTGTACCAGGAACATCAGGAGCGCTTTCGTTTCCATGGATAGAGATAACGTTGACTTTGGACCTTCTCTTCCTTGGAACGTCGGCCGAGTGCGCTGTGCACGATCCTGGAGATGGTGCGCTGGCCATCGTCATGATCTGCTAGGGCAGGGAATGCAGAATTCGCGCCTTCCAGAAGATCTTTTGCCAATACCTGACTAGCTTTGTCTATGCTAGCTCACAGAACTGCATTCCATAACAAGTTTCGTCGGCACGCTGAGCTCTCATGCATCTCGTTGACGGTGACTAGCTCCACCTCGAGTCTACCACTCCGTCGCTTTCTTTGTTCTCCTTCAGTCGCTTGCTTCCACTGTGGTCAGTGATCGATATCTTCGAAACCAACATCCATGCAGTACATAGGGAGCCCAACGCATTGCAGCCTTGGTTTCTGCATTCTCCCTACGCATCATCTTACAGATGGTGCTTCGAAGCGCCTGCGCCAGGTTCAGCACCATCACTTTCGTCTGGCTTAGCCTCAATCTGCGTCGGCAGATTTGAATAGAATGATTCGCTAAATCGCTGCGCAGCGGCACTCTCGACCGGCCAGAGCGTTCCAATGACGGATGTTGCTCCAGCATAAAGTAGTGCTGGAATGATCCCAAGAGGCTCATCCCGGACCGCAATGACTTGGGTGCCGGAGTCGCAGGCAACGACCGTCGTCGCATGTGGAGCGGAAACCTGCATGTCAACGTCAAAACGTCTGATACGGTGAGATTCTTGCTGGCGTTTGAGGCTTCGGTGGCAGATAGATGTGTTGTGTCCGCCAAGGCTTGCGCTTCTTCCAGAGCTCTGGCCAGGACAAGGCATGATCGAAGGACGTCGCGCTTGTTGAACAGTGCGTGTCCATGATAGTGGATCCAGTCCGACGGGGCTGTGGTTTCCTTGAACGAGGCATTGCTTACCTCCTCCGCTGTCCGGACCTGAAGGACCATCATCTTTGAGAGGGTTTCTGCGTGCTTGTAGATTGCGTCGCGTTCGTCTCGTCCTCGTGCACCGTCGCTTTCGTAGATCGTCAGAAGTGAAGCATGATTGTTCGGATGGGAAGGGCTTGTGGCCTGAGATACCGCTCTCACGCATCCATGACGGAATATGGCTGAAGTGGAAGAGTAGACAATGGGATTTCGCTCAATCAATGTCTAATCTGCTAGGAAAAGGGCGTGTATCGGTATGCGATTCAGAATGCTAGACGGGGACAAGATCAGTAGATCTTCTTCGTTTGTCAATTGCAGGAGGTCATTGACTAACGGTGCAAGTTCTCTCAATCTCGCTCGAGCGGACGCTTCCCCCAGCGGTGCCTTTGCTTCACGAGAGTACCTGAGTCGACGCTTGATCTAGAACTCGATGCTGCCAGTCGTGATATTCAGCTCCCGCATATTAGTATCACCATCCAAGGCCCTGACGAGTAAGACAATCTTCGTCTCAGATGACGGTTGGTGTGGTATATACCACTCCACATATTTGACATTTTTGCAGGTCCCACCGGACAAGGCGAGGGCCTCACCGAGTGCTGCCTGGGAAAAGCTGATATCGAAGGCGCCTGCACGAATGGTAAGCGCTTGTGCTCGTAGCGGGTGCTCTTTCATACGAAGTCGAACCTCCTCAGCCTGCCGCCTTGCATTGAGGTATTCCAACGGCCTAGTCTTTAGAGCTGCCGCTCTAAGGAGACGCTCTTTCTCGAATAGCGCATGAGCTTCACTGTCGGCTTTAATGGTCGCGAGGAGTGAGAGTTGCAACACAGCTCGGATGCCAAAAATATCCGACAAGCTCCGTGCCTTTGACTTTTGAACCCATTGCCGGGCTACGGCTACGTCGTCGGTGATCTTGCAAGCGGTGAATGCATTATCGTATAGTTTCCGGTACTGATGTCCAGATATGATCATTCACTTTTCCAGGAGAGATTGCACATTGGACGCCATTGCGACGGTGCGCCTAATTGCATCGTAGAAGTTTTCAATCTTTTGGGCCTCCACCAGCCAAGATTTGAGCAATTCCACCTGACTATTGAATTGAAATGCACTCAGTAAATCGAAGAGATAGTTCAGAGAGGTGATGATCGTTTCGGAGCCACCTGCCTGGGTGCAGAGGCTGTACGGTTCGTTCGCTTGCATAATGCTCTCGAAGTAATCTTTGGCCACTGTTTCGCTTTGGTCGGGTGGTAACTGCGCCATCGACTGAGCGCGAGCGCGGAACTGGGTGTACAAGCAACTTAATAGCTGCGTGGTGTGTTGTGCTTTGTGAAAGTGTGAAGAGCCTGACCTTTCTTTCCCCGCGTCAAGCCGCTCTCGAGAAATTCTAACAGGCGTATCGTAATCCTGGAGCCGAGTCGCCCGGAGGATCTCCATCTCACACACCTTTTCCAACACAATATTGTGGGTATTGCATATCTGACGAGCTTCATCAAGCCAATGATTGAGTCGTTCCACTGCCAGCTTGTCACGCCACGAGCATATTTACTTGTAGTTCAACGGACGCCAGCCAAGCGAATTTGTCTGCCGCCTGAATGGGATGTCCCATAAACTGATCAATTGACGCCCAAAGCTGCAGAGTGATCGAAGCATTCGAAAGAGCTACCATCGCCATGGATTTGTTTCGTGGTGCTGTTGCTCGCTTGATTCGGCTCACGGCAAGTAAGAATGATGCATCTGATCTTTCATCGTGCGAGGCAGTTTCAATTGCCGCTGTCATTGCCATCTCGGCCTGTCTCCCTGCCTCCTCGGTATTGCCAGATGTTGCACTGGCCATAGACATGGCCACACGTAGCTGTAATTCAATTTCGAGCCTTATTTCAGCTGGTAGTCGAGATAGATAGTCTTCCAAGGCCTTACCGCCGTAGCCATACTCGGGAGCTCTGACGAGAGTTTGAGCTACTGCAGAAACAAACAATGTTTGCTCCCGTATAGTTGCTCCCATCTGGCGGATTTCCGTTTGGGCGCGTTCGATCATCTTGGTCGTCTCATTTTGGACGTTGCCGAGCTTGTGGCTAACCGGAATGCCAAAGATCAAGCATTTAATGCTTGCTGGTAACAATGCTGCTCAAAGTAGGCGTCACTAAGCTTGATCTTTCTCTTCAAAATTCTTCCGGTCTGATTGAGTCTTTGTTTCATGTCAGTTGCATATCCTCAAAAATCTAGCTGTCCATATGTGTCTCCGACCTCTTTGAAAAGTGTCGTTGCGCGATCCAGGTGTTCCAGGATTGTAAGATCGTTGAGATCTCCTTGAAGATTTAGCCTACATCTGGTCAGATCGAGGTGGGTCTGAGCCTCTTCGACTTTCATCACCGGGCAGGTCTTAACCGACTCCAGGAGCTGCCGGAGGCACCCCACGTCCCCTTCGGGATCTTTTAGGAATTCAATCCGAGCATACGTAATGTATCGAGCTGAGCGGAATCGACCATACTCCAATGCTCACAAGCGGATTTCGTCGAGCTTTAAGGCAGCTTCTCTTTTCGTCGGGATCTCGTCAAGGAAACCCTGTTCAGCAGCGACCACAAATATCTTCCATAACCAAAATTGGATTAAGACCTATCGTTCGTCAGAAACCTACATTTTGCAGCAAATCCATGCTTCCTCTGAGTTCGGATACGCCGTAGCAGCTCCAACAACGTGGGGTAGCGGGAACTTCTCATCGCTGGAGGAGACTTTGCATAACCGTTGGAGGGGAATTTCGTAGACATGATTGCTGCGCGTTCAATGGAATTGCTTGATTGCGCTTTCTGTGCAAAGATCTCGAAGTCGGTTGGCAAGACCTAAAGCGGTGGCGATCTTTCCATGTCTAGAAATACCAATGTACGCTGGTAACAGCAGGAGGCAAATTGCTTCCTCGTCAAGTTCTCGTCTGAGCAGCTGCTGGAAGGTTGCTGGCGAGGACAGCTGTCACATGACATAATTGTCACATGACAGTGAACGGCTTGGCATAAACCATGTTCTTAGTTCCCTTCCCCACTTCTTCGTCTTTTCTACTTACTCCTTCGGAGATGGCCCACTAGATAGACCAACACATTGAGCTAATACAGCCCATCCACCGCCATTGAGGCGTTCCTTTCCTCTTCCTTTTTCCTTTGCTCCTCGCATTCGCGATACGACAACAGCCTTGTGTGTGCCGGCTCACATGTATCCCATGCTCGAGCATAGTGTCCCTGGGTGAGGTAGAGCTTTGCTGCTTCGATGACAACTTGATTATGGCACCGCAATCATTCCGGCAAAGCTGTGATATGTTCATGCCCCTTGTCAGAGGCTCCAAGGCTCCGAAGTTGCTGGATTTTTTTTTTTTTTTTTCTTCAAGCAGTCTTGACATTTTCGTGATGTGACATCTTGAAGACTAATTCAGCAGAGTCTTGCAGAGGTCTAGAGTTGCCAACATAGGTCAAACACGGTCGGATATTTTCATATGAAGGAGAAGAGACTGTTGAGAGATCATGCGGCTAGGTTTTGGCGAGCCCATTCGACTCCTTGGATGCGCAGCATAGTGCGACCAACCGTCATGGGTGGGAGAACCTCGCTGCGATTGGACGCGTAATGAGTCAGCTAGCAAGTCAAAGGAAATGGTCACATTGGCCTTGTTGGCAATACCTGTTCTGTGTGTCCTGTCTATCCAGAAGAGAGTCCTGTGCACACCCAAGAGACAAATGGGCAACCGAATGGGCTAGTCATGATTAGGTCTAGCAGTCTGGTGACAGGGTACTGGGTAGTTGACGTGTTGACAGGGTCGAACGATAGCCACCTGAGACGCTAGCTGTCTCATGAACTGCGCCATCTACTCAACACCTTTGTTCTCGCCGTTCTACAATGGCTTGACGACGGAATAGGAGGTTTCAGGAATGGCCTTCAAACCACTGGCCAAAGTGTGTATAAACAGACAGAGTCTCTCTGAATAGACAGACAGACAAGACACAATCAAGCAGATAGATCCACTCTCATTCTGTGTACAACAGGTGCCGTCAAAAGCGAATGACCAGTAGTTGGTGACACGTGACACTCTGGTGGCCTCGGTCGGAAGCGGCAAACATGACAGTAGCGGGGACTTATCGCTCCTACTTAGCTGCTAAGTCCGCATGACATCACCTATGGGCGCCAATCGACGGGCTTAGACGCGTTTACCACTGTACTAGCCTCGTAAGTCTGCCAACCTAGGCGGGAGTTATGTGCCTTCTATATCAAGTCCATTTAACCCTAGAAGCGAGGTCGGAATTACATGGACTTATGCCCGGACTATCATCTGGCAATCTTACTCGATTAACAGTATATTAAGACTCTTCCCTTCACGACCAAGATGAAAAGCCGCTACCACCATCCGATTATCCTAGTCGACCATACCCCTAACTTCAACCCTGTATTGATAGGCGGTTAATCACAAGCGCAACAAGATGAAGGTCCTCCTAACCGGTGGTAGCGGCTTCATTGCTGCACACTGTATCGGCTATCTCCTCCAGCATGGGTAGGTCACTTTGGTCACCGCCAGACTTATGAGACTGACCGTATTAGACATGAGACCGTCTTCACTGTGAGATCACATGAAAAAGGAATGAAAATCCTGTCCAACTACCCTGGTCAACCTGCATCCAAACTCTCTTATGTCATAGTCGAGGACATCGCACAGGAAGATGCATTCAATGATGCTGTCAAGTCGGATCCGCCCTTTGACGCGGTTTTACATACCGCTAGTCCCTTCCACTTTCACCCCACCGACCCCAAGAAGGATTTGATTGACCCGGCAATCATTGGGACGACAGGCATTCTCAAGTCTATTAAAGCGTCTGCACCGACCGTTAAAATTGTGGTCATCACGTCCTCCTTCGCGTCCATGATCAATACCGCCAACCCTCCCAAAGTTTACAACGAGACGTGCTGGAATCCCGTGACTCTTGAGCAGGCTCAGGAGAGTGCTAACATCGCTTACCGAGTAGGCAAGACTTTTGCCGAGAAAGCCGCATGGGAGTTTGTGGAGAAGGAGAAGCCGAACTTTCAGGTAGCCACGATGCTGCCGACGCTCGTATTAGGACCGATAGTGCACTACTTAAACTCGCTCGACTCGATCAACACGTCGAATGAGAGATTACGAAGCATGATTCAGGGGATGATGAAGGACCGCCTTGCTCCGACTGGATATTTCCTGTGGGTTGATGTCCGCGATGTTGCGCTGGCACACGTCAGGGCCATAGAAGTCCCTGCTGCCGCCGGCAAACGATTTTTCCTCACTGAGGGCTATATGGACAATGCGGCCATCGCTGACGCCATTAAAGAGGGACACCCAGACCTGGCACAGAACTTGCCGGAAAAATACGAGTCTGACTTACCTAAGGACATCTATGGCTTTGACAACAGCCGGACTAGGGACATTTTGGGTATTGAATACAGACCCTTGAAGCAGTGCATCATTGACACCGTCAAGAGTCTGCGAGAAGTTGGTGCCTGAGAGTGGGATAGTTGCAGATACGGGATAGAAATAGAACACAAATAAACCTGAACGTTACTATAAGAGGGGCAAAGATGTCAAAACTTCCCACGAGACAATACGCCTTACACTCTTCCTTTTGATGTCGCGTTTCCCTGCCCATCGCATCCGCTCATCGACGCTGAAATAAGGCAAAGGAGAGCCCTGGAGCGCCGCAATTGGAATTTGCGTTATCTCGTGAATTTGCCGCTCGGACTGGGGATGGATCTTGCGAACTTACTGCGCGAGGTAGACATTGAGTTCTGATTTGTTAGGATAAGCCTGGAATATCCTATCACGCACGTACACTCGGTCAGAACGGCCAATTAAAGTTGAACCCATCCTCGCGAATTTTCCTCTTTCAGGGCGAACAAAGATCATGGCGAAGATGTTAGACACAGCCTTGAGGGAGGCCGATCACTAGTCGCACGAACACGACTCACCGCACTCATTGGACATGTGGAAGAATCCACAAGAGAATAAGGCTAGGTCACGTGATATGCTCTGTTGGCCCTGTTGGCCCTGTCAGCACAGAGCGCACAGAGCACACGCATTATATATACACCCTCGTTACCTCTACATAGTTACACTCTCTCCTTAGCCAATTCATGTTAGCTATTTGAGCCCGACGGTTCTTAGTAACATAGACTGTTCATACCTTGCGCCATCCACAACCAGTTCACACTATCAAGGAGTTTGTTACTGAGAATCCTAACCCAGTTAGGACTTAGCGGCAGCTCCAACACCTAGCCTCGTTGGGTAATACAGCAGCAGGTGAGCCGAGGGTGAGCAAAGCGGCGAGCGGCTAATCAGAAACAGAAGATGGAAGATAAGTTTTTCGTTCGATACTACCTAGTGTTGCACACAGAGTGAGAGTGAATCTATCTGCTTGATTGTGTCCTGTCTGCCTACTTCAGAGAGACCCTGGCTATCTATATACTATTTTTACTGTGGCAACAAGCCGTCCGCTGAATAGATCTGGACCTGGTCAGATCTGTCCAGTCCTCGTTATCGACCAACGGTGGCACCGAGGCTGTTATAGAGAGGCCTCGGTTGAAGCATTGGTGGATTGGTTGGTTTGCCGCAGTGGCGTTCTGCTGTTAACACTAACTTCGGTAATGTAGGACACACGCCCGATATATTCATTTCATCTGGGCTGGCCTTAGATGCCTCAGTCCCCCCCATTCCGAATGCCGTGGTCGTTACTACCTTCACCGCTTATTGTACATTGTCTTTCCATCGTAGTTCGTCGTCAAACACTACTCCGAGGAGTTTGGCTGTTCGTCTTCTGAATCAGTGGATATGTGGTTTCGTTTCGGTTGGGAAAAGGCCGAGGTGAGGCGTCTGCTTGCAAACCAGAAGAGTATAACAAAGAATGCAGCGCCAATTTGGCCTTCATGATCTTCAAACAGCTTCCATATGATGGCTAACTGTGTTTATCAACTTCGGCGAAGTTGATACGAAAAACGAAGGCTTCCATAACGGCCCCCGTCTCCCCTAAAACCCAGTTATAGTGGGTCTCATACGGTCATACCGAAATGGCCCTTTCAAAGCCTACTATTCATAGCATGATCAGAGTCCTATTTTGGTCGCGTACGACACCGAGCGCGAGTAGAGACGATCGTCTACCGGGGGGCCGAGGAAGGACGCTGTTAAGAGTAAGTTCGCTAGCTTTGACACTTGCTCGCCATGTTTGTCCACGGTATCTTTACAGTGAATTGGAAAACCGGCTTCCTCTGGAAACCCTCTTTTGTGTTGTCTTCTGTGAAAGTGGGGATGGTCATTGGGGCTTGGCCTTCCATAAATAGTAAAACCATCTGAGATATGTAGCCAATGAGAACTATGGGATCAATACTGGGTAGCTTAGACAGAAAATGGGACCTAACGATACTAAATACAACAAAGTATCCGCGCAAACCAGCCCGGCGTTTGCCTTCGCCCGTAACGGACTTGCAATTCAACTGATCACTTGCCAATGTTTCCTTTGCTTTCCTTTTTAAGTCGTCCAGAACCCTGTTAAACTCTGCTTTTTTATCTGGTGCATCGGTATCGAAAGACACAGTCGCGAGCTTGTCGTGTGTGGTGTGCTTCTTAGCCTAATCTTGTAGCCCTGGGCTTTGTGCTTCCCTATTGACTTGCAAGGCAACGTTGAGTTCCTTGATTTGGGCATTACAATGACCGGCGTCGATACGCAGCTGAAACTCGGCGTCATTAGGAGGTGAGAGAATTATGCGGCCACCCTCGGTCGCATTGGCCGTGAATTTGTTAGCCGCATTCTTTTAATCGACATCCCGGCATGACGAAACGCTCTGTATAGTGAAATAGACCTGTGATACTTCAGCTCCTATCACAACCCTTGCACCGCACACTAGTTTGGCCGACCCTTTGAGCATTCTCATCCTGCTCTAGAGTCATCATTCTATTATTCTTACTAATTTCGTTCATAAATACTATAATTTTTTACCATTTTCAGTTCTAATTTTTCACAACCCTCCCAGAGGGAAAATTCCATTCACTCCTCTAGAGCCACTAATTCCCGTCCGACTGCCATCTCCATATTGGAGAAGTAGACTATTAACGCAGACACACTGTAGAAACAGTTACTGCACCCATCACTTAACGCACCCACTACACGTGCTGGGACCTCGTGTCGCAGACTACCTATGTCTGGTACAGCTACGTATTAGCAGTCACAGCCCATGGCCTGCCGGTTTCAATAAATTGCCAGGCCTCGAAATTCTCGTCCGATCACGCTAAATCTCTAAGAAATGAGCTTGTACTCCCGTGAAGTTGAACTGTCACGTGTGATCTGCAAGTGAGGCTGAGAGCCGCATTGCTTTATGTCTGCTTTATCATTCGCATGGTCTCGCCCATCTCAAATAGTTCCTTCAATGGCATTCAGTCCTTGCTCTTCTTGAGAGATATGAAGCGTTTGACATTGTTTCGGCAGGTTGAGACAACCAATCTCTACCAAGAAAGAGCCTCGACCGCAGACAACCGACCAAACTAGATTAAGCACCAAAGTCCGATTCGTCCTCTCGAATACCTTGCCTTTCGACTTGGCTCTCTCCTCGTACCGAGAATACTCCACCATTGAGCATGTCTAGTTCTAAGGACTACACCGTTGGCTGGGTCTGCGCCATCGCTTCGGAATACGTTGCTGCACAAGCTTTCTCCGACAGGAGGCATGACGGACTCGAATACGTCTCTCCCTATAGCAACAACGAACATTTGGGCAAGATTGGGAAACACAATGTCGTTATTACCGTCTTGTCCAAGGCGAGTACGGTATAGCCTCGGCTGCAAGCGTTGCGAGTAATATGCTGCACAGTTTCCCTAACGTCAGGATTGGTTTGATAGTTGGCATTGATGGCAGCGCGTCCAAGCAAAACCATGATATTAATCTGGGGGATATCGTGGTCGGCTCTCCCCGTGCGACTGCAGCAGCTGAACCACCGCCCAGTGTCTTTTCCTGGCTGCCCATAATAGCGGCGTCCGGCCCTAGTAACCTTTAGTCTCGAGATTGGCACCCTTATTGAGTAGTAACTGAGTCACTGCCTCGTGCCCGTTCACGGCTGCCCATAATAGGGTCGTCTCGTCTTCGTTGTTTTTAGCCTCAAGGTTGGCGCACTTGTCGAGCAGTAGCTTGACCACCGCCTTATGTCCGTTCCTGGCCGCCCACGACAGCGGCGTCTATGCAACTTTATCCTTCGATTCAGTGTCAACGTCTCTTCGAGAAAGTAGCATCCTGACAATCACCTCATCTTCCCTTATTACCGCGTGCGTTCTGAACGCTGTCTGTCCATTTTCATCTTTCAAGTCGGCCTCAACGTCGCTTCTTGTCGGCAGCAACCATACCACGTCCTCAAGTCCTTTTCTACTGCATGTAGCAGTGCTCCAGGCTGTCCGACATCCACTAACTCCGTTATCATACTATCGTCGTCTATCTCTGAAGAGATGCCATCATATTTCCCAAAGTATTTCGATTTTCGCATGCGTGTCATGCGTCCTATTTAGATGCGTATCCTTCTCACAGGATATTGCGACGGTTCAGATTTTCTTAAATTAAGCCACTCGAATTTTTCACTCCGCACTCTCTCAAATCGCTCCATTATTAAATTTAAATATCTCACGTAAATAGCGACCAGCTTATCTTCCGTATCTCTTTCTTTATAATGAAGAATCGTAAGCCTAAGTCCTCGATGCTCCCTTTCTATGGAACGGACTTCTAAATGGATTCCTCTACTACTCATCGTTAGGGGGCTGTTAGAGATATTGAAAGGATTAAATTGGATGATGTTGTTGGAGCGGGTGAATAAAGCTGGTGAGGTGGCCAGAAGTCCGCCGCGATTGTCACTACATCTTTATGCGATGAGACTATGGTCATCCGAGATTCGCATGATCTCCTCTTGGAGTCTGACGAAAGCTGTTTCTCTTTCTCCGCAGATCAGCGGCATGTTGATGCCGAATGTGCCTAATAAGCAATAGGTACGATCTTCAACTCTCGATGTTGTTCTCTTCGCGGCCCATGACATTCTTTGGGCGACGCTAAACGTTTCAAGGTCGTCTTCTCCGGAGAGGATTTCTATAGGTGTATTGGTGCAGTTGGATACCCTTTGTCGTAATGTTTCCTTAGTCCCTAGCTCCTTCCACTCCTCGTCGAAAAATTTTACCGTTGATGGAGCGATCAGCTCTTGAAGGGTCCATCCTCTGGTAAACCACCTACTGTCCTCGAAACTTTTTTTCGACGGTACGTCAGCAAGATATGCGTAGCGTACCTCAGCTTCTTTAGTACTAAAGGTACGTGGAGTTGACTGCCTCGGATAGCTCCGCACTGCTTGTTTGGTCAATACAACAAGTATCTATCCAAACGTAATCGAATTTGTTTGCCATAGCTTTGGAGAAACAGCTTTTGACCTTTTCATATCCCTTCTTGTTCGCTGGATGCGTTCCTTCCATGTCCTGAAGGGTAATTTCCTCCTCGTCCCAAGTATGCGACAGGATAGCGTACCGCGGGACTTCTCGCAGCACAGAAGATTCGAGAAAACCGCTCGCCTGCGAAAGACACGTGTTCTTAGTACACCCGGCAACAATGCGGCGATATGGGCATGTGCCTCCCTCTGTGTAGCGGCACCGTTCCTGAATGCCTATGGGTTGAACCCATAGAATGGCACCCAACGTTGCACCTTCCCAACATGAAATGCTTCGGCATATGATCATCGATGGATCACTTAAAGACGAGGCCATGGCAAACAGGGCAAAGTCCAGCAGTCGAACCATTAGGACCCTACGAGCCAATCTTCATCGCTATGGCTGTACGACCGCACTTTACAACGGCCGAGGCTGATGACGTAGAGCCATCACTTCTGATACGTTATCACTACTTGATCTACTCAGAGAGCAGCCCTATCTACAGCTCGACGACATGGTCGTTTTTTTTGTAGGATATTTCTGGGCGCTTGTTGACGCCAGCTACAATAAGCAGGCCACAGTGGCGATGTCGCGACCCTATCAATATCTCTCTTGGCTAAGCCTATACAGCTTCAAATCCAGAAGCCTCGCAGCATCACTTGAGTCCAGCAGGTCCGTAGCAGCAAAGTCAAGCATACGCATCCAAGCTAGAGCATTGCCCTCAAAGCCTTTCACGATTGCCTGCATGATGCAAACGGTGTCAAGCAGTGAAGGACTTGATGATCCATTGGCTGCTGGTTGAACCAAGCGCGGCGTGTAATAGTTGAGTGAAAGATATCCTTCATGAATCCGTGGCATAGCTGCGCTCAGTCTGGACAGGTGCATTGTAAAATCTTCCTCGGAAAAATTAGTTGACCATTGTTGGCCTAGTCGGCGGCATACTTACATCATATGTGAAAGTGACAGAGACCAGTAAATGCCACGCTTATTCGTGTTTGGGTTACCCTGCAAGTTCAGGTTGCGAGTAGTTCCATATGGGAACAGCTCATCCTTCTGCAAGATAGGAGCACCACCCTCGACCCGTTGTTGATGAGTCAGTCAGTTGCGCATGCACCTCTGGGGAGCCCATGAAACATTCTTACACTGAGACCAGGGTAAAGATGCCAACTTGACGGTGCCTGTATCAACCCAGAATGGGAAACGCCTTGAGAAACCCCTTTGAGCAATTCTTCCATCCCGCGAAGAGCAACCGTCCATGCATCAATGACGCTTTCACAAAGGGACGATTTTGTCGCAATGGGTCGTTGGATCTCATCGACGACGAGCTTGGGCTCGGTTTGCTGCTAGTTGTGAGTTCGATCAGCGAACCCAAGCCATGCTCTGGCGTTGTTGTCCCACTCTGCAAGCTGATCCCTTATTAACGATACTTGAGAGGCGAGAATAGTTGCCATATGAAACGTCTCTTCTTTCGCCGCCCCTGTCAGAGACTTTTGCGAATATTGATAATTTCCTCCCATATCGAAATAGCCTCCGCTAGTTTCCAAAATCTCGCCCTAGATACCGAGGTTGGTTTTCAACCAGAATCTTCCCTAGGCTGGGATGCGCACAGAAGACATGCCATGGAATTTGCAGCCTTGCCGGATGTAGCAGCCGACCATATTGAGGTCACGTCTGGACCAGTGAAGTCGGCGAATAGACCTATTCTTTCAAAACTTCGTTCATTCTCGCCATAGTGGCGGCAGATCCCCGAAACCCTCCGTCCATATGCTTCGTATAGTCCTGATGATGGTGCAACGACTGCCTCGAAAAAGGTGCCAAGCTTTCTGGCAGTTATATGAGTGGATCCAGATTCTGAAACACCACGACGGACAGTGCTTAGGGCATGAGCGACTCCCTCAAACTCGACCGGCGCGTTCGCCTATGATAGTCATCCGATGTGCAACGGGAATAGAAGATTCAAGAATGATGGCTAACCTTGATCAATGAGAAGTCAAAACTCACGTTCGCCAAGGCCAAAGTAGCTTCTGCAATGCCTGAGACGAGCGGATTGGTTACCTTTGCCAAGTTAACCACTATCCTTGAGAAGGCCGCCTGCGACGAGGGCTGAGAACGAAGGCGGAGTAACCAGAGGTGGGTATAACCAAATTCGGACGCAGTGGGATTTGATCTTTGAGTCAGGCTCGTGAGGCTGAGGAAGGTGAAGAGATATTTATCCCTAAGTCAAATATCCACTCGAGATGATTTTGGTAACCCCGCGTCGCACAACGCCTGTCCAACTTCCAATCACCTTTAGACAGTAATACTGTCAATCTAGAGACGGCATAGCCGCGCACGCAGTGTGCCATTCCAAGACGTAAAACCTGCAGGACTATACAACGGCAGGACGTCGTATTCTTGACGTCTTCCCTCGTACCCGTGGCTACCCTGGGAACTGAGTTGTGCGGAGAAAACAAGGGGAACTGAGTCAAGGCTTTGACCATCCCAGTACGGTTTTTTCAATCCGAGAAGCGGTATGCTTTACGTAGACATTAAATCGCACATGAGATGGACAGGTTTTGGTCTTCTTGTCCTGCCACAGGCACTGAAGAGGGGGGTTTACCGAGGACCCTACGGGCAAATCGTGTTCTTATGTGTGATGATACCTGTCACTTAGTCTGGACGGTTAAGGTCCGACTGCGCAGGTCTTATCGCGTGCCACATACATGAAGTTTGCTGCTTACCCTTATTTTGAGCAACAATAGATCTTGTGTGAGTAATAGGTACGTGGTAGCGAGAGTAGTAAGTAACAGTGGGTCTTTGAGATGGGGCTGTAGGAATAGCACCAGCCGGGTGATCCAAAGCTTGGGGGGAGGGAAGGCTGCCCGGGCCGCAGGCCGTTTCTCCAAAACTTTGGCATGGGAACTGCCTCCTTCCGCCGTCCAACACTTGCCTCATTCAGACGCAGCCGAGATACGAATTACATCTCTCTTCTCCAGGTATGATCAAGGTAGGCAACCATCGACTCAGCACAGCCTTGGCATGCAGTCTAGGCAGCTTCTGGTCACCCTCCCCTCCTCCAGAAGCACTGTGAATTATCTGGTGAGTCGAAGCAAAGAATGCTTCTGCAAAGATAAGTACCATCGGCAACACCAGCTATCTCTCCCTCCCCGCCCTCCCCCATATCATCACCGAATGGTGTGCATTGGTACCGTTGATTGTGCACCTTGCCAGCGCGCACGATGGGTTCCAAGTGATGGGTGACGCGTGCCTTCGGGGAAAGATCTGCCTAGATCTCATGCCCAAGCTGGGCCAGCTCAAGGACGTCGCGAAACTGCTGTCGCTCGGATCGGCCGTCCTCGACCAGACCAGCGGAGCAGGTGGCGCCGGGTCGACGACCGTGTGGGATGTGTCTTGGGGCAGCGTATTCCAGTGCGCCAACGGTGCCCCCCAGGGAGCTGCTCACCGCGCACGCCTTCAGCGGGAAGACCGAAATCGTCGACGTCGAGACTACCGCACCAGAACAGGCCGGCAAGGGGACACCCGCGCAAGCAAAACTAGGAGGAAAGTCTTCGACCAACATGCCTATGCCCAAGAACGGCGCCTTCTGCCGTCCACAGGAGTAAATATACAGCCACTAAGCTCGAGCGTCGACGACCTCTCCAATGCTTGATTATCAACCTAAACTCGGGTCGCTGAGTATTACTCCAAACGCGAGCCAGATACAGCGACGACAGGGCAATCCGACCTCTCAAGCAGATGCATCATCACTGGACTCCCACAAGCCCCTAAGCTTGAAGTCGATGAATCTGCTCTCCTCGATTCTCGGGCCACCCCCAGTCCTAACCTGATGGACATCAAATGGGTGGATCAGAACGCTCTTTGGGCGTCGGAGACGGCCCGTTGCATAATCCAATCTTGCGCTGCGGCTTCGTCTGCAAAAGCAAACCCTTCACAGAGTTTGACAAATACTGTACGGATGACTGCCGTTCAAGCTTAAAGCGCAACAAATTCCATCTCTTTGGAGTTCTTGGTCATCCGATCGAGAAAATCAGCCACGAGCTTGGTCTGCGGCGCCCGTGGGCAACACTCTTGTACATTCCGTACGGAACAAAAAATTGATAACCGGAACGCCAGTGTCTCTGACGTACTGCTGCATTCTCTTCACTGAAATCTGACTTTGACCGAGACATATAGAGCAATACAGCGACCTTCTTTTCGCTCCTATCCTTTTAGGAGCCCTCGATGCATGAGGAAACGTTCGACGGTAAAGTTTAGGTTGTAAGTTGTATTGGGGGCAAGACCAATTGAGGCAAGCCATGGTAAGAGGCACAACGGGCAGAGTCCTGGAGCAAGTCTTTGAGCTCAAGCACACCCTTCGTGCAGTTCTCTGTTTGCGCGGATCAATTCGTCGATGCGACTGGCAGGGGAGGCGACATCTGCGGATGGTTGCACTGTGACTTCTAGGTCATGAATACTCATCTTTAGTGGGACACTGCATTCGCGCCTCATTGTGGGCGCGTTCTTTTAATATAGCAAGCAGAGAAGTGGAGACGTTGCATCTCACAGTTGCGGGACACACGGGGCATTTGGAGCGATGTCCCAAGCAGCGCTTCAGCTCGAGAGTCGGAGGACTAAAGTTATTGGCCCATAACAACGTAAATGTTTCAAACAAAGCCCGCAGCTAGTCCAAAGACTTGGGGAACCGCGAGTCACCGCCTTTGCATGGACCCCGCCGAATGTGCAGAAGAAGATAGTTGACTTGCCGGATTTCGAGTCATGTCGCTAGCCCTTAGCTATAACCAAATGGGTTGCGGAACGAACCGTTCCCAGTCACGACGCGACTTATCTGGACCGTGATATGTGTCCAATGATGAGGTGAGCGAACGCTGTTGTTTATGAGTCTGGCGGGTTGCGTATTCTCTGATCTATCCTTGCGGCGAAATCTGCAAAAATGGGACTCAATCCGCAGCTTTTGTATCTCTCGACCAATTCTGCTGACTTCTCAGGGCCATGCCCGTTTGTTGCTGGATCGCCATTCGTCGCATTTGGCAGATCTTTCACGCCCTCGACCAGAGCCCCGAAGCCAGTATCGATGGGGACCGAGCCGAGAAAGGGAACATTGGCCTCGCTCGCCATGATCTGGCCTCCGCCTTTGCTAAAAACATTGCTTATCTCGCCACAGCAAGGGCACATGTATCCTGCCATGTTTTCGATGACACCAAGCACTGTTATTTGAGTCTTGACGCAGAAATTCAACTCTTTGCGCACATCAGCTGTCGCGATGGCTTGTGGAGTCGTGACAACTACTGCCCCGGAGAGCTTTGGTCTGCCATCAATCTCGAGCGCCAAGCCATTGCCATTGGAAGCCGTCACGGGCTGGACATCGGCAGCAAGTTTATGTAGTTCCTCCACGATAGCAATGTGCTCGTCACTTGTGCCGGGTGGAGTATCAATGAGAAGGTAGTCTGTGTTCGGTGGCCACAGGACATCTGACACGAACTGTCTTATCATTGCAGTCTTCTTCGGTCCACGCCAGATCACAGCCGAAGAGCGGGAAGGAAGGAGGAATGCTAGGGACAAGGCATGCAGAGAGCCTCTTTTGTGGGTGTCATTGTCTGTAGCTTCTCTTGCATCGTGTACCTCGACCGGCAGCCAACCGCCAGGGGCCTGGGTCACTTTCTTGTCTTCTAGATTGAGGAGGCGAGGGATACTGGGCCCGGTAAGATCAATATCAAGGATTCCGACATTGTGACCTTGCTGCGTGAGGGACAGGGCGAGTTGGAGAGTGACACTGGATTTTCCGACACCGCCCTTGCCAGACAGGATGAGCACGACATGCTTAATGTTCTCGAGACCCATGGCTGACGTCGAAGTGAAGAGATGACTGTCAAAACATCATGCTCGAGGTCAGGGCAGGGAGGGACAGGGAATTGAAAAATAAAACGCGATTGACGCAGTTGGTGCAGTGCACGATGCGACAAAGGATTGTTAAGCAGGCGGAGATTGCCGGGTGGCGGCGTTGTTAAGTTCAGCCTTGGTGGGCGCGATTGGGCGGTCGGTCCAGCCTGACGAGCTGCCAGTTTGGGAACCTCGGAGAGCCTCGGGGAGCCTGGGAGCCTAGTGGCCCTAGGCCTAGGGGCCCAAGCCGCCAGCGTGCAAACATGGCGGGGGTGGCGTTAAGCGGTCCAGGCACCAGAAAATGGGCATTGGAGGGCTTCAACGTTTTATTTCCGCAGCTTCATGGGTGAGATGGAGGATGCTCAGAATGCAGACGATCCCGATTCCATCAACAATGATGACTTATATCATGTGATTTCTCTTCAGAGACGGCTAGATATATCTCCGTCATTGGGCATGACTTGCTTTGTACTACTAGTAGTAGAGTTCGTCAAGCCATTTGCACTTTAAGTTTGATAGAGCACGTGCTTGCACCAAGGACGAGGCAGGACGAGGCAAGGAGTAATAGTTGTAGCTCATGCAGCTTGCCCAGACGCATTCATTGTCTCTCAGCGAATTCCTCGCCTTGAGTAACCATGTGTACTCTGTTTCAACCACTCATATTGGCTCTTCTGAGAGTTCCAGCTGGTGCCAGCGCTGATGTGAGTGAGTGCAGCTGTGGTGCCCCTCGTTCTTCGCCCCTCCATCCTCCCTCCCCCCTCCCCCTAGTCTACCGGCCTAGCGCTAATCAGGATTTTCACAGCGCCCGGGGCCTTTCGTCATCGGTGCCGAGGCGGCGGGGTCCCTGGGCTCCTCACTGGCCACTGGGCTTCATCTCCGCGCCGGAAATTTCCATCTGGCGGTGTCTGCAGTGTCCACTCACGCACTCACTCATCAGCGCCGTCACGCACACACACACACAAAGCTGCTGCTTCTTTTTCTGGTGCGAACATCAACAGCCAACACACAAATTCGCCTCTTCTTGATCCTCCACCACGCCCTCTTCCATTCATCTCCTCTGAAAGCCCGGATTTTTACATTGCTGGACTCACCATTCTCATCTGCCCGTGTCAATTGATCAGTCGTCTCAGTCGCAGTCGCAGTCACACTATCTATTGAGCGGTCAGAAAATTTCCACTGAGGCATTTTTATCCCACAGCCCGCCCACCATTTTCACCACCACAAACGCAGCTCTGGCGAACTTGACCAGTTCAGCGGATCACTCGATGCTCAGGCTGTGACGGCCGTCTTTTCCGCCAGCGAATTCTAGTAGCATCTCTATGAGCCGCAAGGATTTGCTTCGCTTCCTATCCAAGCCAGCAAAGTGCGTCTCACTTCTGCCCCCATGGACCAACATTGTGCTAACTCGACAAGCAGGCCCCGATAACACCTGCTACTTGCGGGATCAGAACGAAAACCTCACATTTATTGCCCTTTCGAACAGAGCCTCTTGAAGGAACACCCATCTCTCGCGGTACTTGACGTGTATCAAAGTTTGACCAGAAAGAGTCTCCAAACACTGCCCACAATTCCGTTCGTGCAGGAAATCTTCTTCCTCCTCTCCTCCACCAGGCCTCCATAACGACCCCTCAGAAGGGATTTCAGACCGCATCACACACTGCTGCTGGCAAAAGCCAGCCTCCAATTCTCCCACCGCATAGTGGGCCTTCTCTTCTCAGGCGGACACCGCATTGTTCGTCTGGGTGGCAGATAGTGCTTCACTGAATCGTCAGATCAGTGTTCTTTCACCTTCTTGCCCACAACACTTCACAGTTACCAACAACCGAGAGGACTTTGTCCGCACCTTCAACAAGGATATGGTACACATTGGGATCCCCAAGAATTACACAACTTCACCGTCGAGTTTTAGTCACACTCCATCAGTGACTATCAATCGTGAAGTTGCGCTAGATCTTGACTCGAGCAATGCTTTCGAAGGCAAGTCATTCTTGTTCGCCGTTATTGGCCTAAAACTGACAACTTTCAAGGTCCCGAGAAACTTTTAGAAGTATGGTTCAGTCCCTCGCCAGACGCCCTCCATGGGTGCTCGGAGCCCACCGGACTCAAGGCGGTACCGGCGGAAGTCTGGAAGACAATGCTTGATCTGGTCAATTGCAAAGTGTTATCCATTGTCGAATCCGAAGATGTTGATGCTTATCTGCTCTCTGAGTCGAGCATGTTTGTCTTCCCCCACAAACTTATCCTAAAGACTTGTGGTACAACCACCTTGCTTTGCGGTCTGCCACGTATTCTCGAGATCGCGGTCCTCTTTGGGGGCTTTCCGCGTGCGACTGCTCCACCATCTAACGGCATTGCCGTTGCAGCCGCTCCATACCGCGTCTTCTACAGTCGCAAGAACTACTTATTCCCTGACCGCCAACGTGGACCACATCGCAGCTGGCGCGATGAAGTGTACACTCTTGATAAACTCTTTATCGGGGGAAGCGCGTACATGATCGGCAAGATGAACGGCGAGCATTGGTATCTGTACCTAACTGAGCCTTACACCATGTTGACGCCACCAGCAAGCCCACAGAGCATGGGTAGTCCAGGAACCGAGACCAAAGTATTGGATTTACCCTCGCCGCTGGTGGTCGACCGTGGCTCGAAGGTGCGCGAAGGTGAAGATGAAACTCTCGAGATCCTCATGACTGATTTGGACGAGGAGAATGCTCGTCAATTCTACCTCGACCATGCGAGTGCGGTCGCAGAAGATCAGTGGAGAGGATCTCAAAGAGGGCGAGACGATTACGTCGATGTCTTCAGCAATGCCTCGTCGGACGACAGCGACGTTTCCATCAAAGAAGAGGCCTTTCCTTCTGAACTCACCACCGAAGGACATGCCCTTGGGACTGTGGTGTCCGAGTCGTGCGGCCTGTCCAATGTCTATCCGGCAGACAAGTATCCAGATGCTCGAGTCGATGCGTATCTTTTTACTCCATGCGGATTTTCGGCCAATGGCGTTATACCGGCTCCTAACGGACAGAAAGGAACCCATTACTTCACTGTTCATGTGACTCCAGAACCAATCTGCTCTTATGCATCATTCGAGACTAATGTCCCTTGCGGCCAGAAGGGTCGTGAGACCGCTGACATCATTCAGCATGTCGTGGACATCTTCAAGCCTGGCCGATTTACTGTCACTCTTTTCGAAGCTACCTCTGCTCTCGAGGAAAAGGCCTATGCTGACCATGACGAGCTGGCTCAAATTAGGATCTTGGAGCGACAGGCTGCTCGTCGCAATACTAAGATGGATGCCATCAAAGGGTACCGTCGCGTCGATCGTATCGTTCACGACCTCGACGGGTACGACTTGGTCTTCCGATACTATGAGCGCCATGACTGGAAAGGTGGCGCCCCGCGAATTGGGGAGTAAGGATTGTGGTCGCGCTGTGGACGATGATCACGGGGCGCACACTTGCTTATTGTCATCAGAAGCAAGGAGCTGCTAGGAGGGAGGCTGACGTGCCCAAAAGTACACCAATGCTCTAATAGTTATGACGGCTTTTATGATTTCCATGCATTACTTCCACTCCTTTGAATCCAGTATTAGCTAACAACAGGCCTCAATTGAAATACGGCATTTGTCCAATTCTTCGGTATTTGTCTCACTTTCATTTCGATCAGAAACCACGCCTCTCTATGGGCACTTAGTTTTCTATACAGTAAAAGACCGAGGTCTTGTCGTTGTCAGGAGTTTAAAGATTGAAGAATCGTTAGATTATTCTAACGACGTGGATTTTGTCTCTAAATGCAGTGGTTTAGGAGGCTCAGGCATATCTCCTCTTTTAAAGTCATCGTGCATTCAGACGATGCTGATTGTGGGGACGCGGACCATGCAATCAGTATGCTTCCAACATTGCTGCGGGACTCGAATAAGCCGCTTGCGGCGCTCACAATGCTAGTTATCGCATATCTGCCTAGGATTGATGGAGCACAAGCCCACGCGCCAATACTCGTCCTCTTGACCAGTAGCCTCGAGCACCAATGCCGTGTAGCAAAACATGTTGCGCCTTGAATATCCTCCGTTACCGAGAATGAGACACCGAACCTCCTTGTACCCAGGTGAGCCAGGATCGCTGTGCAGGTCTGGGAAGTACGGTTCCCAGACATAGACATGGCTAGGAGCGTGGCTGTTGTGTAGGACGTCGGCGAGGTCTCCTCGAGCCAAGTCTTCGACTAGCTTTGCCTCTGCTCCATGGTGACCTCCTGCACCTGGGCTTCGGTGCGGAAGGACTCGCTGATCAACGCCTCGCGTAGCTCGTCCGGATTGTCGCTGAAGGATCTCAACATCCATACGAGAATGGGCTGCTGACGGAGTACCAGCTCCAAGTAGTCGCGATGAAGCCAGCTGGCCTGTTACGCGATGGATTTCTGACGTGCCAGATGAGTGAGGGGACAATATCTTTCTTCCAGATCCCCATCAAGCAGGTGTCGTTAAACAACTTGCCATTTTGTCCTCAATACCGGCCGATGTGACGATCTTATCCCTCTCGTATGTGAAGCCTTTTGCCAAGTATTCTTCGACGAGCACCTTCCTCCGGCGGCACTAGACTTTTACCCTATCGGCTGGAGAGAGCTCGACTGCCCCGCCACCACTATCAGGGTCAACATGCCGGAAAACGTAGTTCTTCTGCGTCTGGCGGTCTGCGTAGTAGAAGCCGAACTGACTCGAGCGTGCGGTTGCAGGCTGCGTTTCAGACGTGGTGCCTTCCAGGCGCTCCAAAGGAGTTCGGAGCACTTCACTTCGACGACTCGGCGAGACATAGGAGCCTCTTGAAATGCCCGTCCAAGGGTGTACAGTGAGCTGCTGTTGGGGTTTCTCGTCGTTATTCATTGGTTTCGTAGTGCAAACATTGGGTGGACGTCGACCACGGCAAAGGTCAGAGTCGTATTCTCATATATCGAAGCCATTTTTGGAGCTTCCTCGTCCTAATCCCCTCCTTTGCCCAGGACTATACACTGGCACAATGGTGAGCTGGGGCATTTGCCTATCGAGAAGCGCATAGACTTACCAGATAGTCAACCCAGAGATACCGGATCCCCAGCCTCTTCGCTGCGAGAACTGCGTCTTGAATCTGTTTCTGAAACAATCGATACCGGGATACCCTTGTGAAACAGCAGAATGGTTTCTGCACATAGCACCACGGGATCCTTTCCCCAGCGATAGCTCAGAGCACAAAATGCAGCCCGCCTGTTGGAGCTTTCGACGACCTTGACCAATCGGCTCGGCCTGTCTGCAAGACTCACGTCCACGACCTACCCTCCTCAGCAGTGGCGGCCACAATACACAGACATAGGGCGGCTGCAACAGTGCCGATAACATTGCAGGCATTGAGACAGTCAGTACGTAATATACGCGATCACTGTCTCTGCGTGGTTTGATTTAACAATGAAGCCGAAACTGCACCTACATCCTAGAAGAAACCTAAAATATGACTGAAGTCACATATTCTCGTCGTCATCCGGGGGGGATAACTCACCAACCAGATGAGGATTTTATCTTCATAAAGGATCACATCGCGTAGTCTGACTTGTAGCCTGAGTTGTCTAGCGCGCTGTACGGCGTCTTCGAAGTCCTTTAGCGTCACACCACGCATGTATGAGTTCCAGTGATTCCGCGATTCCATCACTAATTGAGAGGGATATGGGCAAGGCACCCGTCTTCGTTACTCCTTGGCATCGGTACGGGATCTTCGAACCCTCTCATCCGGCTCGCGACACAGAAGGTCGAAATTGTCCCATTATCCCGCCTCGCAGGCCAGGTCGATGGCGGATTTGTTATCTTTCGACAAGATGTTGATATCGGCGCGGTGCTCCAGTAGAACCGAGACGATTTCCTTTGTGCCGTGGGACGCCGCGTGACGAAGAGCTGTCCCCGGATAGCCGTACCTGTTGTACAGAGAGTGAGAGTGGATCTATCTGCTTGATTGTGTCCTGCCTGCCTACTTCAGAGAGACCCTGGCTATCTATATACTATTTTCACTGTAGCAACAAGCCGTCCGCTGAATAGATCTGGACCTGGTCAGATCTGTCCAGTCCTCGTTATCGACCGACGGTGGCACCGAGGCTGTTATAGAGAGGCCTCGGTTGAAGCATTGGTGGATTGGTTGGTTTGCCACAGTGGCGTTCCGCTGTCAACAGTACCCATTAATTCCACATCCACACCACTGGACGCTTTGAGATGGCGCCTTACGTCGTCGCTATTACCGTGAAGGAAGACTTTCAGTAAGGTGCCAGCTGAGCAATACTGGCTCGACGTTGAGCTACCCAGCAGCGACATCGTACCGTGACGGGAAGGTTGACTAGCAATTTGGATGGTTTGGCGTGAAGAAAACGACCGAGAGAGTGTGACTTGTAAGACCCGAGTTGAACGAGCCGACTGAAGAAAACTAGAACACGAGATATGGCGACGCTCGACATTGTAAGCACAGATGTTTGTCGTCCAGGGGCTGTACCGAGTCATAGGGGATTCTCAGGATACAGCCTAACGAGGAACAAGGCTGAGATTTGGGTATTGCCAGCCTTTGCAGGCAGCCAATAAATCAGTACTCTATAATATTGTACTAGCCTGATTAGGCTCAGTGTACTTGGTCTTGGCACTTCTGCGACCTGTCACGTATATAAAACTTCTTGCTACCTCCAATAGCCCTTTTCAATGCACCAACTTTTTCACGACCCCAGTGGGTTCCATACGTCCAACTTCCATTTTCTCGGACAACCTGAGTCTGTCCATACTAGAATGGCAGGAGTTTGAGTAGTCGTTGTCATTAGAGTTAAAGAAACAAAGAACGCAATGATCTCACTAGCTGCACCGGCGACAAAGAATCACAGAGGACGAATGCATGGCCATGAACCTTCCCATTGGCTAACCTCAATGGGTAAGAACGCAGAAACATAGAAAATCAGAGACTCGGGAGTTGCGAGCATTTTGAACAACCGAGCAAGCCATGAAAAATGAAGATCAGAAAATGCGCAAGCCTCTTGCCCCGTATATGCAGCGAACGCTCTAGGAAACGCCGAATCGACCGCGCTCGGATCAGCCCAGGTGTCCGGTTGTCCAAATCAAATCAAATCACATCATCCTCCCCTAATACCTTTTCCCTCGATTTCCCATCCTCCTCAACTAGCTGCTGTCTAGCATAAGGAGGACGGATTCATCACAGCTGCTACTGTTCCAAGTGAGCGTCAGTGTCAAGGTCTTTAATAAGTTTCGAGGCATACCTAAAATCCAACTCCCCATCAGCCCTTTGGCCGATTCGATGAGGAGGGGAATTTGTCAGGTCTCCGTGGGTCGCCACCTGACCCATCTACCTTGGAGCGTGAGCATTGTTGCCATATCCCAAGCGAATGAATGCAGTGATGTATACTGACTCCTGTCTGATCTTTTCAAGCCCTTGCCCAATCAGAGCTGTTGACAAGTTTGCAAGATAGCCGCTGTGGCAAACCAACTGAGACGCTAGCTGTCACACCAATTGCGGCACTTACCTCAACACCGTTTTTCTCACTGACCTGCGACAGCATGGCAATAGAATAGGAGGTTTCAGGAATAGCCTTCATATTACAGGCCAAAGTGTATATAAACAGGCAGAATCTCTCTGAACAGGCAGAGGGGCAAGACACAATCAAGCAGATAGATCCACTCTCAGTCTGTGTATAACAGCTGGCTTATTTATCGGCAACTACTATCGTATGTCAATAGTTGCGAGGAGCATCTCGATGACTCCATCTAGCCCACGACATATACCAAGGCACTCTTCATTTTCGGAGACTTCTGCGATCGGTTCGGCCTACACAATCAGGCATTCGCTGATTTAAGAAAGGACTCAATCCAGCGGCACAACTATCCGCACTATCAAGTTTTGAATGCCGTGACGGCATTTTGACAGCCATGCTCAATAAAGACTAGTTGCACAAGGCATTGGCCAAGTTCCAAACTCTCCATGCCGAAATAGTCACTCATCTAGGTGTGCGATATGAATTAATGAACTGGATAGCTAATAGTCTCGGTATGAAACTCGGTTCGTGGGATCAGGCTTTAAAGTGGTACGAAACATCACTCTCTCAAGTGAGGGAGAAATTTGGCGAAGGAGATGAGAGAACTCTCGCTACTTTGAATAACATTGCGGTGATTTACAAAGAACAGAAAGAGTATGAAAAGGCGCTCGACGTCTTCCAAGACGTATTTAAGGAAAAAGGAGACAGCTCTGGGAGAGGAAGACCCCCCCACTCTTGAAATAGTCATGAATATTGGCATCTTTCACGCGCACCGTCGGCGATATAATGAGGCGCTTCATTTACTGCAACGAGCTCTCCATGGAAGGGAGAAACAACTGGAAAAAGACAACCCGAAAACCCTCCGGGTAAATGGTAATATCGTCAGCCTGTATCTCAGAAACGGCTAGCTTGAAGAGGCTATCAAGCTACATGAGGAGTCCTATAATTGTGATGAAAAAGCTTATGGGGCTATGCATCATGATACATTAACTACGGCCCTGGTTAGGGGAGGACTACTGCCAAAAATGGCTGTATGCTGAATCGCTCCGGTGTTATGATAAGGATTTGGATGGTAAGCGAAGACTGTTTGGAGAGAGAAACGCAAAGACTCTGGAGACTGTCGCAAGCATGGCTGGAGTTTTCTAGCTCCAAGGTCGATTCTGTCGGGCAATGATTTGGTAATGTAACAAGGCAAAGTGGCTGTGCTGTGCTGGGCTAGTAGAGTGGCAGCAGGGGGAGAGTTGTCTAGTCACCTGTCAAACCAAAATGGGCTGGTAGGGGAAGTGCGGAACGGTTTACAGTCCTGGCAGAGTGCCATTCTTTACAGTTTGAGCAAAAAATCATGAATTCTACGGCCTTTTGGTGCTGTCTACCTAGTTCCTGGGTGTTTTGTCAGTCCTGTCCTCCTCCTCGATGCCGCCGCGTGCTAGGCGTGCGTTGTCCTAGCCGCCGCCTCTTTAGGTGTTGGCGGTGGTGTTGTCTTGTGAGCGCCAACCAGAAACGCATTCTCGATTCCCGACCTACTGGACAGGCCGCTGTGCGTTGTTGCACGTGCACGCCGAACCCTGAAGCGCTCTGTTACATTATGACGAATATGTTATGCCGCTGGTGTCTGATATTCTCAAGGGATAAAACATTCAAGGTTGTCACTTCTAGCTATCCTCGCGGAGCTATCAGCGACGCAACATGGTATTCAACTATCTACGAGCTTCTTAGAGATCAAATCAATATATGCAGGTCTGAGATCGAGTCTGTAGTACACCCACTCCAGGGGATCTTGCTTTGATACCATCGATCGGCACCAGCGGGTAGTCGACTTCCTTGATCGTCGATTTCACCAGCGCCGTCGAGCTTCGAACTTTCTCCACGGGTACGTCCACCACCTCGCAATTGACAGTCGCTGTTGTGGCTCTCCATGTGTTTCCCACCGGCACGTCGTGCATCTCCAAAGACAGGATGTACTGTGTCTGACTGGCTCGATCCCCAATCCTGACCGAGTTTCTTTTGTCGAGACCCCTCAAGACGCCATATGTGTCTGAAAAATTGGCAAACAGCATGTCCTTGATTGCATTCTGCCGGTGGTCTTCAGGAAGACTCGTGTCGTCTCCGTGGGCCAACGCCACCAGGGCCGTGGAAAGATCGTCGTTTATACCTGATTCTTGGAAAAGCGCTGCCCACGAGTCGAGTCTCCAGCTTCGGATAAAAGACTTATGGACACCACAGAGGAGCACAAGTCGCTCTCTTAGTCGAGGGGCCGCAGGGGGTGCCTCGAAAACAAAGGGGACAATGCCGATAAAGTTGACTGATTCGAATCCAAAGAACCTGGTAGTTTCCGGCTCCCAATTTTGCAATGGTAGCACGTCGCAGAGCCTTATCTGGCCTCGTAGAGACTTGTTAAACTGCATCGCCACGCTTGATATGCGGTAGTTTGCTTCCGTCAACTGCTGGCCGTGGACGCTTTTGCGGACATAGACTGTTCGCCTAGTGCCCTGCCACCAAAGAAGCCGTGATTTCTCCGCAGTGATGAATTTCGGAAGGACCCGGACAAATGTCTCTCCAACCTTCTGAAGCCGGACGTACAGCCATTCGGGATCGGAGCTGGGACCAATGCGACAGCAGCCTAGATCCAAAATACAACAATCGTCTTGGCCTGGGAGGAAAACGCCTTCAGCACGTAAGCCATTGCTGGTAACTGAGACTTCGTTCCCAAGGCTCTGCCTTTCGTGTGGCGCTTTGAGGTCGACACAATCTGAGAATTCAGAGGGTGATTCTGCAAAGATGCCTCGATAGAGCGACTTTCCCGAGGTGTTTTGCCACGCGAACAGACTCAGGTCATTGTGTTCCTTGAGGATTTCCTCCTGTAGGCGGAGAAATGCTCTATCCCCTTCTCCGTACAGCAGAGGCATGTTGACGTTGAAGATTCCCAGCAGGCAGTACGCGATATCCTCCACCCGGCTGGTCTTTCTGGGAGCCGCCCAAGACATTTTCCTGCCGACGGGAACAAAGTCTAGATTTTGGCCGTTGACGAGGACGTCCGAGTCGATGCTTGTAATCTTTGCCAGCAGTTCTTGGAATTTGGACTTGGTGCCAGCTTCGACCCACCACTTGTCGTAAAAGCGGACCTTTTGAGGGGCAATCAATTCCTGAAGTGTCCAGCCTCTGGTGAACCACCGGCATTCTTGGAGTTGACTCAGATCGGAAGCCTTTTCCAGATCTGACAGATAGGCATAACAGATGTGCGAGTCTCGGTACCATTTGAACATGGAGTTGATAGCTTCCGACAATTCCGCGCTGCTGCTCTTGTCGATGCAACAGGTATCGACCCAGGCGTATTTCAATCCGTCGGCCTTTGCTATGCGGCACGTCATTTCGATCTTCGCAAAGCCCGACTTTGTCTTCAGCTTGTCTGCCTCAGGACCTTCTCCGGATTCGATGCAGTTCCATTCCTGAAAGTTGATCTCTTCTTTCCCCCAGGTATGAGAGAGGATGGCATAGGAACCTGGTAAGGGGTTGACGATGGACTCGAGTTTCAGGGTTTCGGTATTGATTAACAACATCTTCTTTCCACCTCTTATAGAAGAATAATCTTGGCACAGGTAAATGAAACAAAATCGATCAGACGTCGGAGCCGCGACGATGGATGACTTCTGCAAATTCTCAGGGTGTATTCTGTGCTGTAGACCCAATTTATATCTGCGAATTCTTGAACATTTCTCTTGTCGAAGCGGAGTGAGGTCTGTACATATAGAGAGAGAGAGAGATGCTCGCTCAAAATCAAAGCAAAGACGATTTGAAAAAAAGCAAAAAAAGGGAGCAATCCGTATGTGCAAATCTGTTTCAGAGAAGAAGAATCATAATGCTAGAGAATGAGGCAAGAGCTAAGAGAACATGTGCCAAAAGAAAAGAGACTTACACTTGCCCAACTCCGGGTTGGCGGTGAGTGCGTTGGCAGTGCAAGAGGCAGCCTCGCGAGGCTGAGTAAGAAACCAGCGCCGGCCGTTGCCGCCACATCCTGGTTCCTCATATCGAGCCAATGAGGCAGAATGCTCGGTGTTGGCAAGAACGTGGCGCAAAGTGAATTGTCACTTTTCTCATACTTCTTCATAGGAGGCACCACTGACCTTTAATATCTACAGACTATGCTCCGTCATTTCGTTTAGGGTTTCCGTGAGCATGTGAACTAGCTTGGCTCTCTCCATTACTTTGCCACGGCCCCTTTTTGTGCCCGACACGCTCCCACCCGGCTGGAGTGAGAGAGATATATATACCCAGTATCTATACGCGGTTCTCCAATTCGCTCTTTGTACACGGCCAAGGAAGGTCCTGACAGGTGGATTTCAACCACTACTTTCTTCCACAGGTTTCTGCAATCCTGGACAATTTCCGAAGCAAAAGATGTGGTTGGAGAAAGAATTCAGAAACCCGTTGGTAAGTGCAGATTCCAACTAACCAGTAGGCGGTGGGCAATAGAAGATCCCTACTTCTCACCACATTAGGGACTCCGCCTCCATTCAGGCAAGTTTATCGAGACATAGAGATTGTCTAGCATTCGGCAATCACCTTCTCTGGTTGGGAATTTGATGATAGTTGTGTTAGAAAAGCATCCAACCTCTTCTTTTTATGGCTACCTCTGTGTATGTATAGACAGCCTACATTGCCCTTGTGGTTAGACAATGCACAAGTTCAATCGCCTCAATCTCGGACAAGTTGCAGGTGGAGGGCCTGGAGACAGTAATGGGCGAGCCAGCTCTGTTGATTTTGACACAAGTATTGATTGATTCACGCGGCACTATAATACCTAGCACAAAATGAATAAGTACAGCATATCCATATCCATGAGCGCCATCAGTAGTGGAAGCAATGTGACTTCTCTCAACAAGACCCACAAGAGAGGAAACATGCCTGTTAGACAGATAATAGAATCAACGGCACCTCCCTAACATGGTCTGTTCTTGCACCGGCACGATCCTTCTGAGAGACTCCTCTTCCAGACGGTCAGCTACAATAACTCGGCCTCCGGTTGACTGGAGAATTCGAGCAGAAGTCGCACACCGTCGTCGATGGCAACAAGCCCCCTCGCAGCCTGGTTCGGAGACGACCGTCCGTCCTCGTTCCACAGTAGACCACCCCCACAGCATTTCCATTCGGATCCCGAGACCCCGAACGCAATTCGGTGGCTCTCCTAGTTGTGGCATCGACGGGAATGTCTTTCTTTCGATCAGTCCCGGCCTGCTGATCAATCCCCTTCCCCTCTCCTCTCTTGGCTGTGCGAGTCCGCCTGTACGCGACTTTCTTTCCCCAGATTTCGCACGGGAAAAGCAAAGCTTCTCCTCTCCCCTCCCCGCGTGGAGAGGTTCCCCCAGGATCTGCATTGTTGCACATGCGGATCCGCATGGCATTACGGACGGAGATTTGATGTGCGGATAACGTGTGCCGTAAGCCACCCCCTGTCCGCAGGCAGAGTGCCGTTCCTTGTTTCAGGTATCTGGGGCTAAAAGGAGTAGGGGATAGCGAATGCGTGGATCCTAACAGGGGGTTGCCGGTCGTATCCATTGCGCCGAAATCGCCTTAGGTCCTGGCCTTGCGTGGCTGTACTCCGTATTAGGGTTTGTCAGATGCGTGCGGTTAAGCTTGCGCGGGGATAGGGGTCTTCATTCAGGTGTCCGCAGCCGCACCCTCCTGTGCGATTCATGAATGTACGTACTGACAAAGGCGGACTGATGGGCCGCCCTCATGGTGCTGAGCCAGATCATGACCAAAGAAAGGGGAAGGTAGAGGGCTCACCATAAGTGATGACCGTCCAATCCGTAGCGAGCTGGGCCTCATTATTCGCTAGGCTCGGGCGGCACAGTATTCCGACGGCATCGAAGGCAAACGAGGCATCATAGTCGTACAGGCAGGAGAGAGGACCGGGAATTAGACTAGCTCAACTCGAAAATTCAAGCAATCGGTACTTTTCCTTGCATTACCTCCTTAACTGGTTTTAGCCCATACCCTAGTTCACAGCCTCTTGCAGGATTTTTGCCGCACTTAACGCCATGTCACTTTTTCTTCCTAGTAGCCACAACGCCTCGATACAGTCATTCAGACGACTTCTTGCTTCCGCGAGGTGGTTGGTGTCCATAAAAAGTCCGGGTTCCCGCCTGGACAGGACCAATTTGACAAGGACTTCACCGGCGTGCGCGAATGAGCGCACTAAAACTACCGTCCATGGCTCGGTGAGTAACGCTGCCTTGTTGACAGCATGATGAAAATCTGGCGATTGCGAAAATGATAGGTCTTCGTTGCTGAAGCGTGAACATCGGCCAAGGTCGGATACAGCGTATACGGAGCGGAAACGCAAGGCTGCAGAGAACTCCGTTGTCTGTCTCGCAGTTCGATTCGCCGGTAGGGTCATATTCGAATCATCCAGCTTTTCAATCAGGTCGGCCAGAATGAGGATTGCCAAATGCCAGTGGCTAGCCAGGAGGATGTACCATGATTGAATGCGAGCGGGGAGGCTTTCGTGGTTTGCCACACAGTCGGTGATAAATCGACCATAGGTATTGTTCCAATGGTTATAGACCTCCAGTGTGGATGCGATGGCGTTCTCGATCGCATCAGGTGGGGCGCGTTGATAGTAAAGATCTTGAAGGTGCCCAACTCTGCGGAAAACGAGGACTTTAACAGGAGCAGCATCGGCGAGGCATGCAGCAGCGTCAATATAAGAGCAAGGCCAACGAGTTGTTTGCTTGCGGACGTCTCCAATTCGAGACTGCTGACGAAGGAAATAGTTGCCCCATATATGCGACTCTCGAGCCAATTGAGAGCTGTTCATGTTCGAGAAACCCGAGTAGCCATCCAGGTCACAGGCAAAGCCATTGATGGATGTTGAGAGCCTTGGGGCTGGCGGCGGGTCATCATCGTTGATGCTGGTCTCGCCGTCGCTGAGCGTGAAAGTCCGGCGATTCATAGCTGCAGATATTGTGTCAAACATGATGGCGAGCCAGAACATAAGTCCAAACGTTTGTTTGTCCTGCTCGCCGAGAGTTTGGGACGCTTGCAACGCGAGTTGGCCCCCATTCTGAGAGCGCTCGGCGTCTTTGAGTCTTCGTTGGTGATCATGCAATTTGCGAACTGCAACATCCAAGAAGATAGGACCGCCGTCGTGATCGAGAATCTTGCGCAGCGACGCGAGATCATTCTGCCGATGTGAGTGTGTGTTGGGGAGAACTTCTGCCGGGTCCATTGGACGTTGCGTCAAAGAAAATATGATCGCGGCAAATATGACCTTGAAGGACGGGTTTGCCACGGCTTGACCGAGGGCCGCGTTGGCTTTATGCCAAAGTGCCTTTTGCATGTTCCGCCCAAAGATCCCATGTTCAGGTTGGTGAGTGCTTAGGTTTTCGTGTTTTCCATAGGAAGACTGAGCCCATTGCACCGCGAATGCCATAACCACGAGGCTGAGGACGTTCGAAGCCTGTTTCTGGTCGCTCTGAGATAGAAGGCCACTCCTCGAGTAGGCCTCGTCTAATGCGCGGACTCGTGTCACGATTCTGTTGGACCATTTGGAGCTCCAGGCATCTCTTTCGTCGACAAACGGACTAGACGCGTAGGGGCAATTCCTTTCAATGAGCCAACAGCTCAAAGCACCTTCTAGGGAGTCGTGGTAGATTTTGAGCAGGCCCTTTTTGATATAGAGCCGACTGTGATCTTCTGCGAGAAAATGCGAGGCGAAGGGCGAAGCGGTCTTATTCATTAGACCATTCCCGTAGAATGGGGGAGAAAATCGACGTTCCTGCACTGTTGATTCCTGGTCCTGACTGTCAACTACTGACTGAGGATTCGACATAGGCTGTCCCCAGGAGCTTGACCTGTCGGAGCGGTAACTTATGGAAGATTGGCCATCAATGGCGAAATCTGGGTCGAGCACCGGCTGAGGCACGTAGTAATTGTTCGAATAGCGCTCGGGACAGTCAAGGGGTGTGAAGTCGTAGAAAGGCTGACTGAGCTGTGAGTTTACGAGAGAGGCGCTGTCGTCCTGCTGTGATCCACTAAAGCCGTCAAACATGGCACTTGCTGACAGGCCTGTTGTGGAACCATCCGGCATGGTTTCTCTGGAGATCGACCTGTTGAGAGAGTCGCTAAGCATAGAGTCAATGTCCTCTGGTGGCAAACTCGAGCTGCCGTCGACCCATGCCTCTTGCGTGGCCGTGTCGTCGACCACCTGCGATATTCCCTTAGATTCTCGCCGGCGCCTGGAAGTGGTCGATTGACGCCTCTGATGAGACTTGATCCACTCGATTGTACATGCCTTTTTCCACTTCTTACAGTTCGTGCACGGAGAGGAGGCGAAAATGTTTGTCGCCTCATGTTCGTCGCTCGAAGGGAAACCGAGACCGCTGACTGCCGGGATCTCGTGGACGGCGACTTCGACATCGCAGCGACGTTTGCCTGCTCGACACTGGTCGCAGCTCTTGTTCTGGCGACGGCGTAGGGCAACAGTCTGGGCCATGGCTTTTTGGGGAGGCAATGCGTGGAGAGGTGATGGATTCAGGGTCAGTACGGCATTGATTGATGCGACGGGATGTTCTGCCGTTGTGAACAGGGTGATTTGGGTTCCCTTGAGATGCGCAAAAGAAGGTGGAGTCTGAAGTCTGGAGTCTGGAGATGTCAATCCAGCCCCCGCGATTCACCTTGTCACAGGTTGATGCTGGTGGGTTGCGTGGGTGCGTGGGTGCTTGGTGGCCCCGGTGGCCCTTCTCAGAGGCCTCTTTTGCGGGGTAATAATTCTTCTGGCTGCGCATTGCTTCGCTTCGTTTCGAGGCTCACATGCTCAAAGCTCCGAGCTCACCCAAGGCAACTAAGTGCCCATGCTGTGTCACCGCCAATCCGACCAGGCGGCGCCGCGATTTGCCCTCTGCTTCACTAGTTCGAACTATGCAGCTGTCTGCCTTGGAGCACAAGACGGCTCTTCCCATTCCCATTCCCATGGCCAGCTTACACAGCGGTTTAGGGCCACGGCACCACCAGCGCCACGGGTTACATCGCACGGGCTTGCACAGGCACGCACGCACCCATTCCCTTTCTAGCCCCCTTTTCCGTCTTCGCAGCACGGTCCTCACTACTCAGTGCTGGCTACTGCAGCTAGCTTACCGACCGATCCTGTCCACGGCACCACAGGGTGATCGAAATGGCAAAATGGAATTGTATAAACGGAAACGGCGTTCCGAAGTACCTAAGTGAGGCCACTGTACACTCCTGATTCGAGAGCAACCCAGAGACCAAGAACCTGAGGGTCTGCAAAAGGAAGGATTTGAGAGCAAATCATCCCCGCTACACCCTTAGCTCGATCGCACCACCAGTAGAGGTTGGGGAGACCCGCCCAATGGCCGGTGCCTGTCGACCTGCCGGTTGCTCCATCACTCAGCATAAATGTCAAACCCCAGCCCTGCTGCTTGCCAGGATACAAGTCTGGTATCGGATTGGTCAGGTCCGGCTTGGCTGGAGGGATGCCCTGGCGTGAAAAGTCCGGGAACTCGGGAATCTGGTTTTGGAACATCATGTCCACTGTCTCCTTTTTCAGAATTCGAGCCCCGGTAATCGGCGATGTGCCGTCATTAAGCAAAGTTGCTAGGATTTCTGTTGTTTCGATCAGCTCATACTCGCGACTTTGGGTAACAGGTGGGCTTACGGCAGTACTCTCGAGGCTTTGCGAATGCACCGGCTCCTCCGCTGTTAACGCATGTCGCAATGTCCTGCTGACTCTCCACGACCAATGGCCGGTGGAGGAGATGATCCCGTGGTTGAAGCTGACCATCTGGGGTGCGCGCATTCATGTATGCCAGCTTGGCCTTCATTTCAGCACTGGGAAACATGGAGATATTCTTAATGGCTAGGGGCTGGAATATGTTGCGTTGAAAATAGTCGTTCAACGACATATTTGTGGTACGTTCGACGCATATACCCGCCCAATCTATGTTGACCTAACGCAGGATTTTAGCCACATTTCTGATTCAAATCGAGAAAGGCAAAACGCACTCCATATTGCCAGCCCTCACCCGGCTGATGAACCAGCGGCTGAATCAAATCTTTGATATGCCCCGAGAACTCATCATACCCGATGGGCTTGCTGTAATCCCGAAGGCCGTCGTGAAAGAATGTATAGCCGAAGCCCGCTGGATCCGCGTTAGCTGAATGAAAATTCCAGGAAGAAGTTATTTCTGACCTGTGTGCGACAACAACATTCTCAACGTGATACCTCTCTTCGCTGGAACGAGCTTGCCATCAGGCTGCAAGACACTCAAGTTCTTGATCTCAGGGCACAGCTGAGCGACTTGATTCGCATCATCCAGGGACAGTTTGCCTTGCTCCACTAACTGCATACATGCAACACCAGTGATCATTTTGGTGCACGATGCTATCCAAAAGATGCTATCAAGGGTCATTGGCTCAGAGGTGCCGAAGCCTCGCTTGCCCGCAGCATGAGCGAAGAGCTCTTTACCATCCTTTCCAATGGCTATACCGACCAAACCCGGAATACCTTTATCCCCATCAACGCAGGCAGCGTTGAGGGTGGACGTTATGTTATTGACAGCCTCGGTGGAGAGCCCCATTTCGAAGGATATAGAGGAATGGATCAAATGTTTGCGGACTCGGCCTCACCAATATGCGAAGGGACACAGCAGGAATAAGAGGGCTTTTGAGCGACTATGCGGAATCCGCCCTGCTGCTGTCTAAATACCAAGTGAGTTGTTCGCTCACCCGCTCTTCCCTCCCTCTTCTCACCCACCCCCTCAGAGGAGCCGTTCTCCAGCATTCGGCTAACAAGGGTGCGGGTCCGAGATACTCTCGCAGCGTGCCTCATCCTCTGATGCTGAGCGCAGTAGCAAAGAGGAACCCAGTGATGTGCGGAAACGCATTTTGGAATTGCGTTCGGCCGTCTGGAAGATCTCTGGCGCATATCACAATCCTGCCATCCAGCCGTAATTGTCCCGTACCCCTCAACGCCGCCAATAATACCCAAGTCGCTCAAGAAACATCATCCTTGCGGAAGGTACGTTAATCCCCCGCAATGCCAATTTGCTATATAGAGACCAGGGGCAGGGGTCATACATATTTGCGGAGCCGCAGGGGAATATCTTGTCAGACGCCAAAGAGCAGATCTGTATGGGGTCTCTATGCGGGCACCAAACAGATCAAAGAATGACCAATCACTATAACCAGCATGTCAGGATAGAAATGATTGTATATAAGAAAGGAGAAAGAGAGAGCTGGAGCACAAGGACTCATCCCCCACTCAAGTTTCAACAACTGTCCCTTCTCATCTTGTGCGACCCAGATATAGTTGCTGCTACTTGATACATATCATCACAATTATGGGTGACCCAGGAATGACCAACCCCAAGCTGAAGACTCAGCTATGGGAGTACGGCCGTCGAAGGAGGACAGATGGACCTTATGCGGACAACTTGGAAGTCGATGCCCTTGTCGTCGGTGGCGGCTTCGGTGGAGTCTTCTGCTTCTGGTCCCTTCGCAAAGAAGGGCTGAAGACTGTTATCTATGAGGCTGGCACCGACCTCGGCGGCACTTGGCGATGGAACTGCTACCGTAAGATCATCCTGCTGTCATTTATTGCTTCTCCATTCTAACTTTGGAGCAGCCGGGGCAATGGTCGACTCTGAAGTTCCTGAGTACCAGTTGTCAATTCCGGAAACATGGAAAACGTATGTTGGAAGCCTCAATTTCCGTGCCCTTGCTTGTGGCTTACTTTTCCTAGGTATAACTGGCCGTCCAACTATCCTACGTACAAAGAACTTCGTGATTACTTCGATCACTGTGACAAGGTCCTTGACATCAAGAGTCATACTGCCTTCGAAAGCGTTGTTGTCGAAGCCCAGTTCAACACAGACGAAGGGCGTTGGTATGTGAAGACAGCCGATGGCCGAACAGCCAAAGCCAAGTACCTCGTCGTCGCAGCTGGATTTGCAGCTAAGCGATACGTCCCTGACTGGCCTGGTATCGAGAAGTTCAAGGGAATTGTTCATCACTCGTCCTTCTGGCCCGACGAGGAGATCAGCGTCAAGGGCAAGAAGTGTGCTATCATCGGCACTGGTGCCTCTGGCGTCCAAATCACTCAAGCATGGGGTCCCACAGCAGGTGAGCTTAAGGTCTTCCAAAGAACACCAAACTTGACGGTGCCTATGCGCCTCCGTGCCCTCACCGCCGAGGAGCAGTGGGCTGGCAAGAAGTGGTACCCGGAGCTTTTCGACCTTCGTGAACGGTGCTTCGGCGGTTTCCTATATGACTTTTCCGAGAAAGGATTGTTCGAAGATACACCCGAAGAACGTGAAAGGTTCTTCGAGAAGCTCTGGTCTGATGGAGGCTTCCGCTACTGGCTGGGGAATTACAAGGACTACCTCTTTGACCCCAAAGCCAATCGCGTGGTGTACGACTTCTGGGCCAAGAAGCAACGCAGTCGACTGAATGACCCAAAGAAACGGGACATTCTCACCCCCGTTGAGCCCCCACATCCATGGGGAGTGAAGCGCCCATGTCTGGAGTACGCATACCTCGAGCAATTCAACCGCCCCAACGTCGATGTCGTCAACATCAAGAACAACCCCATCACTGCGTTTGACGAAAAGGGGATTGTCCTCCAAGACGGTACCCATCACGATTTCGATATCATCTGCATCGCCACTGGCTTCGATATCACCACCGGTGGCATGACAGCTATGGGCCTGCACAACATCAACGGCAAGACACTTGACCAGGAGTGGAAGAAAGCCGCGGTAACATACCTTGGAACGACCGTCCCCGGATACCCTAATATGTTCCATCTCTACGGCCCGCACGGTCCCACACTTTTGTCCAACGGTCCAACGTCGGTTGAGATTCAGGGCAGGTGGATCACCGACGCCATCAAGCAGATGGAACGCCAGGGCATCAAATACATCAACCCAACCGAAGTGGCCAGCATGGGATGGAAGCAAAAGATCAACGAGCTGAGCGACAAGTCGCTATTCCCGACCACCAAGAGCACGTAAGTACAGCTGTGCCATGGAGGCACAACCCCTGTTCCTTTCCCAAGACACTAACATTTTTCCTCCAGGTACATGGGTGGCAGCATGCCAGGTAAAGCATTTGAGCAGGTCAACTATGCGGGTGGTATGTACAACTATCACCACGAAATCAGGAAGGTTCTGCCCAACTTTGAAGGGTTCCACGTGGTGAAGAGATAGATGACGGAGGCCCGGCTAGGATGTCAGCGCTAGGGGCCATCTCTGGCAGGATCGTATATTTGGGATGAAGCAAAATCGATGGACTTGTATGAGCAAAATGAAAATGTGCACGAATGTCGCAGACACATGTTGTCACATGATATGACTCTCACCTGACGGAAGGAGCAGGGCTTGGCATGACCTATGTTCTTAGATCTCTTCCCCCTCTTCTTCTGTCTATCAGACTTACTCGACCAGAGACAGCCCACTAGATAGACACAACACCTTGAGCTATTGCAGCCATTCGTTGCCATTGAGGCGATCCACTCCTGTTCCCGTACCACGTTCCCGAGATACGACACATGTCTCAATAATCCCCTTCTGCCGATTCCCTTTGCCAAGTAGCGAATCCATGGCTGAAACGACCAGACCAATCAGTGGCGGTTGTGATGCTCTGGCCGACTCTAGGTACCTAGTCACGACTTCTCTTTCTCATTCCTCGACAGGATCTTCTCCTCCGCCTCCCCGCTACTGTACTGTAAGAAAGTGGCAGTAGCCTAATTCAGCTAGGTTGCTAGTTCTTAGCGCCTATTTGAACCTTCATCGTCCTTTCAGATAGATTTCTCCATCTGTCAACCGACCTAGTATTCACCCCAACCCCAGACTGGTTCAACAGAATCGACCCTAAACTGAACGAAGTCTGGGGCCTCGCTGTGGTGCCACTCAAACTTCAGCACCGCTCAAACTTACGTACAACTCCAGGTGAAAGCGGCCTTTCCTCTCCTCAGCTCGAACGTTTTGACGAGCTCTATGAGAGCCCCCAGGAATTTCATGAGCTGTGGAAAGGTTACAAAGTCGAAGACGTACACTAATTCATTGGCAAGGCGATAGAACCAAACTTCCCAATCCCAAACGTTGGGTGGGGCTACTTTCCGGCGGAACAGAACGAATGGATTCAGAGCAAAGAACGCTCCATATTAGACAGGGGTTATGGAGTGATGATGCAAGGACAATTGAAGAATATATTCCGTTTCAACCTCAAATATCGCATTTCCACATACTCCACACCGTTAGGTCATCCGCAGACTGGTAACCGGCTTATTTCCTTGCCTCTACTTGCTATGAGTTACGAACTGCCACCCTTGGTCGTTATAATTTTCTATCCAAAATTGCCTATTTGTTCGGAGCAGGACCATTATGTCAGTGAAGAACATGTAGTGGCGCAAGATTCAAGTTATTGCAAGATGATCGGGTTTCGCGCCCTTGCAGACACGATGCCAAAGATGTCGAAGCTTCGAATCGAGCGGCGATGTTTTAAAGCGAAGCAGGAGCACGCCTCAATTTGCGACAGCGGGGTCATGATACATGCTGGATTGAATTGGGCCGAAATGAAGCAGCATGGTCACGGGTTGGAGCAGTATTCCGCCGACCATGCAAATAAAAGGGATGACGGTGATACTCGCGTCAATAGCGGCATATTGGATTTCAACTTTGTCCACCTTTCTACTGTGCCTCTCTTTCAGCTATTCGCAACGGATTGGGCTCAACTTATTGTCAAACGCAAATTTAACCTAAACTTTTTCGACCAAAGGCCCAAAAAATGGATAACAAGCCGGATCATTGAAGAGGCCAAGTCTCGACGTGTGGCATAATACGACACCAAAAACACATCCATGCTAGTGTCAACCTTGTAAAAACACGTGCACGCGAAAATTATGCAGAACCTTGCGAAGGAGGAGGTTGCGCAAACAAGCTCTCAAGTGGCAACGACTCCCAATTACGGCAAAACCCGAAACATTGTCTTTGTGAGAGTGTGCCGACAGGGCAGGACTCATGGGCTCCGATCTGTTGACTTCTTCGCATTGAGTGAATCTTTGGACGCCATGTAAAAGCGTGCTGACAAGATTCAAGAAGAAATGGTCGACTTGATCAATGTCAAAAATGGAGAGCAATCCCAGCGCTTGAACGCAGTTGCCTTGAGTGCTTCCATCATCCTGCTGCCATTCACGGTTGTGGGCACTGTCTTTGGTATCGATTCCACCGAAGGAGGGCTGAAGCTGTTCATCGACAACTTCTCGAGGCAATGGGCGTCACATTCATGGTGAGCGTGATTCTCTATATGTTTCTCTGGCTCTGGGACTGGACTCCAGACTCGCCTGGCTATTCGTGCTATTGCCGAGCCAGTGATGGATTGCCTAAAGGTTGTGGAGAAAGCTGAAGGTCGCTTGCTAGGCTCTGACTTCTCTTTCACGAAGAGTTCGACGGACTAATCGCCCTCAAGTTCTAGACCTATGGGTTGAATCACTGAATCGGCGAAGCAAAATGTGATTATTCCTTTGGCCCTTCTCAAACTTCGATGCGGGTATATATCTTACAATGGTGTTCAATATCAACTTGTTGCTTCTCACCGCCGTTCCGGGCGTAAAGCTAAAGCCGGCTACATCTTATTCATTGTCTACGCTACCTATCGGGCTTTGCTACGATTTGTAAGACTCCCGAACTACGACTCTCTGATCGAAGACCCTCCCGGTGACGAACAGGATCTACTTCCTTCCAGCGTCGGAGTTCACAGAGTGCTAATACCTAGCTTTATCATGCATTTTGCATGGACTCGGATCCTTTGCAACCCCCCACCCCTTGTGGTATGGAAATTGCAGGTCTCCTCTCTTGGATCGTTTCCGATTAGATTCAGAGGGGAATAGCTACGTTCTCACTCGGAGGCGTTTGCGTGGCCAAATAACTCTAACTATAACATTCTGTGGTCACGGCTCCGGCTCCAAACAGCCAAAAGAGATAACCCGCCTCCCAGGAGGCGGGAAGGGAAAAGACGCGGCCCCTTATCATAGTGTGAAGAGATAAAATCGAAGCTAGAAGGTGATGTTGTTGTGAAGAATATGCTCGGCCTCCACGAAGAACTTCGAAGAGTGGTTGGGCTTGAATCAGCGGATTCGAGGGCACGCATGTATTACACTATGCGCAGGTCGGATTTTCGATGTCGGTCATGCCTGCAGGAGCTGGAAATATAACAAGTCATCCTATGTGTAGGACTCGAGAAGACTCTTGGCGGAACACACGCTATGGCCTCTCACACACACAAAACAGCCAGCTTATGGGGGGCTGAACCGTGGTATTCCTCGCAAGGTGAGGAACTGCTAGAAAGCAACCGGCGCCCTCCTATATGGCAACGGAGGGCGCCGTTCTTTATTGAAAGTTATATTCCCAGCGTCATAGACTGAGCCTGAATTTGTACTCCCTATCTTTTTCTCTCATTCCACAGACAAATGAGGCCTTGTGCCGATGGCCTATCCCGACTCCGTACACTGTGGCTTGGAGCGAAACTGTCGAACTAGGTGATGTCTCCTCCAACGCATTTGTCGAAGGAAAATGTGCCTCGAGAAGCTCTAACGTTTCCTTGCGGTCCGTCGCAGCAGCTTTCGCGACGGCTATTCTATATGCAGAAAACCATGCCGCTCCCCTACTGATCAATTCAGGAGTATGATTCTCATGATACCGCTTTCGTAATTCGGGAGTATAATCATAATAATTCCTTCCTAATTTCGTTCCTTTCATATATTTCAATAACAGCCCGTCTGCCACAGACCCTGCATCAGCTATACCAGCAGCAGAAAACAATGCCGCTAACCCGTTGCGTAATTCTTCAATGAACATCCAGCTCTGTTCTTCGACACATGCCAATAACAGCTTGTCTGCTGCGACAGAGGTGCAGGCCGGCAGAGCCCGAGATTTGACAAATTTATTGATACAGTCATGATTGTGCGTCTTGACAGCGCGAATGAGTGCATTAATCTTGTCATTCTCCAGGAAATGAGACGAGAACTGCTCGACGAGATTGCCAAATACATTGTAGTGTCTAGCTCTGACCAGGGCTTGGAGAGTGTTCGGATGGGGGTTTAACCGCTTTTGTAGGAAGTACATCAAGCAACCTGGACGTCCGCGCCCAGCAAGGTCCAGGTACTGATGCTGTATGAACTCCGGGTGTTGCTTCGGAAGTCTCTGGAGATGACCAGGTTCAATTGTCTCCAAAATTTCACCGAGCCCGAGGCGGTAGGAGCGATTGGTCTCATGCCATTCCTCGAGAAGAGTGCTGCTCAGATCACTATTGACTTCATCAGAGAGTCCTTCATGTGATTGCAGGTGAGTAGAAACCGACTCGTGCTCAAACCAAGGGATCGACAAAATGAGGTGGCTTAGGGAGCTGTTCTTGGCCGTCTACCAATCCCACTGGATAATGCTTATTTCTGCTTCGGATCGTAACTGGTCTAGTCAGGGTGAAGGTCTCCAAGCGTGACTCGTGATTTCTTTCTGCATGTTTTTCTTAATGGCAGAAAGTTTCCGAAGAAAGGATCCAGTCTTCGACGTGAGCCTCTTCAAAACTAGAAGTCAATACCCTGAGGCACTCAGAGTGGCCATTCTCGGCGGCAGTGGTCCAGGAAAGATGTAGGTGTTCCACATGATAACGTCCAAAATCCCGATATGCTTCGCACAGAGTTCAGACAGCTGAAGAGTGACCATGCTCAGCAGCTAGGGAGATCGGCGATCTTGAATCCGTACGCTCCACAAATGGGTCCGATCCGGCCTTTGAAAGCATCTCAACAACTGACGTGTGGCCTGCTTCAGCTGCACAATGAAGTGCAGTCTTTCCGTTGTCGACACGATCCTTTTCGTTCAAGTCAAACTTGATACTTCATTCCCATGCTGAGCGGCTAAACGCAGGGCCTGACTTCCGTGACCGGTTTTCGTGAGAATCCCGTTGGCGAGAAGTTGCTTTACTTTTGCGACGGAATTGTTGCAAATGGAATGACTGATCGCCGTGTCCCGCGTCGAGGGGAGCACCCAAGACCATTCAGACGCGAAGTCGTCGTAAAAGTGCCACTTCTGATATGGCCTGGCAAGGACGGCAAATGCTTTGCGTTCCAGGTGCTGGCTTACATGCGCTAGGAATTTGTTGTTGCTATTAGAGCATTGTCGCAAAAGTAACAGTTGATCCCTCGGACTTCTTGCACGAGATATCTGCTTGGTTTACGGTCGTATCCGTTCTTGAATGACATTCCGGTCTCCTCCCTATGATTTTTAATATGTTCAATAAACTCGGGGCGGCTCATTGCCCCATCAGAGAATGGGCATTGCTTGCAACGATATGAACAAGCCGTTGGGTGTTTTCGGAAAATATGGGTCAACATTTGCCCTCTAGAGACAAATGTCTTGAGAGGAGTCAGACAATCTTCAAAGATGCAAGAATAGGGCTGAATTCCTAAAGCTCTGTCGGCCCTCGATAGCACGCGATCGACGTCCGATCGGCATCTGCAATCTTTTGCTGAAATTCCAACCACCGCTCCTTTGCAAGTCTGCATAACGGCCCATTTTGATTGAGATGGTATGATTCTCGGTAGCGAGATGCGCTCTAATGATGGACATTCGCTGACCTCTTAGGTTTAGATATGGGAAATATCTCTCGCATCACAATTATTGTCCAGCCTATACAGCCAACCTACTACGGATGCGAATCACGAGGCCTAAACGCTTGTACGACTCCACTTCACGAAGTACGAAGTAACTCAGGAGGAGCTCGATAAGGAGATCGGAATTATTACCCAGGTAGCTAGTATCACACAGGTATCTGATGGGTCGTGGAAAAGCTTGTACTAAGAACGCATATTCTGTACATTACCGTGCAGGATTCAGGGCTTCGCTTGGTCCTCCGCTGGGACATCGATGTGGAAGAGCTTCCGTTCGGAATTGAATGACAAAGTATGCCTCGTCATGATCGCAGTCGAAATGCCTTACGTTCTAGCCTTGGAAATTTTCCATGAAGTCGTCTATGAGGTAGATTATTTCCGGAGTCTGTTTGTTCTGGAGACCTCTCCTCTCAATATTGAAGCCAAGTTCAACGTTCCTTGTGCTGGAATAGATCTTGGTTTTTCAGCGGCACGGGCGCCAAGCCTCAATCACAGCTAACCCTAACCAACCTACCTCCCAGGTCACACGTCTCGCCTGAACGTGCTTGATTTCAAACCGAATTGACTGATAAGGTCCTTGAGGTTCTCGTTCGGCAAATCCAGAAATGGCAAGGCTGTGCACATCAAATTGATATGTTAGGAGCGCCGCCGTCGATCGTGCCACCGGAGGGGAGGGTGCAGTTGAGGAAAGTTCGAGGCACTACTACGTGCTACAAGGCGAACTCCTCGGTAAGTGTTATGTTGGTTTTTGCGAGACGTTAACAGCTCATTTTGAGTTTCATGTTAGAACATGGCGGCTAGGAGTGCCACGCACATTTCGGAAGGCGGTAAAAGTTTAGTGTCTTATGTGCGGTGTTCAGGCGGCAGGGTAAGGCAAAATGAGTTGACCCCTTCACCAATTGCCGGTCGTTCTGTTTCAATTTCCACACCTAGTCCAACGTTTACCGCACACGTTGCCGGCAGTGGCTCTGAGCACTGCCAGGGAAGGCAGCACTCCGGCCCTATGGCTGGCGCCGCTGTTGAATGATGTCTTTGCTCGGGAACGAAACCTTCCACACCAATCCCGGGAGGGTTGATGTCGTATCTCGTCAATCGAGACAAGGCGGAGGCGAGAACGAGGAATAAGGAGGAATGCCGCATGAATGAGTGGGCTGCAATAGCACCTGATTGCGATCTATCTACTTGGTAGTGGCTGTCTCTGCTTCTCAAGGAGGGAGAGAGGCGGAGCAAGAGTGGACAGACTACCCAGTACATGCATCGACTGTGCCAAACCTTGGCATGCCATGCGACAGTTGAGGCCTTCAAACGTGGCGGTGCACTGGATTGCATGCCCGGGACGAGAAGAGAGACTCGGATGCGACTTGTGACCAATGGGAACTCTATTATCCAATCCGACATGCAGCGATGCGGCAGCTGTGGGAGGACGGGGAGCTTATGGGTGGTCAGTGCGATCCAACTTCCGCCGCCAAAGCAAACTTCGGTGTTAGGCGCCCACCCCTTGCCGCTGTGACATCTGATTGGTCCGACAGCGCTTCTACGCTAGACTCAAAGTGGTTAGGCAGGTCCTCCTCTCTCCTGAGTGCTATATCAGTCCTAGTTCCTCGTAGGTCTTCTCTGACAAAGCGATGCAGCCACGGCGCGAACTTTAACCAATCAAGGTTGCGTGATGGAGATTGAGGCCTGTATTTGAACTCGTAGCTAGCCGCTTGAACCAGACGCAGTTACTTTTGCATTTCTTTCTTTGTAGTGATCTAGCAGCGGACGTCAAAAGATGGCGGACCCTTTGAGTATTTCTGCCTCGTTGCTCGCTGTTACTACGGCCGCTGTACAGTCGACGAAGTCACTCTACGAAACCGTCAAACGCTTCAAAGACCGCGACAAAACTCTACGCAGACTTCAAGATGAGCTTAGCGATCTCACCAATATTTTGGACTCATTGACACAGGTGACCAATTCTGAGCAGTCAATGCTCACACTACTTCAAGGTCCTATCGAACGATGTAACCAAGTATGTCGCGAGTTCGAGCAGTCAATGAAAGTTTTCAGCGGAAAATCAAAGACGGGCTTTCGAGATTGGACAAAGATGGAATTTATGAGAGGGAACATAAATGAATTTATAGACACTATCGCGGGGTATAAGTCAACGATCTCAGTCGGTCTAGGCACTATTACTATGTTGGTTATAATTACTTATCTACTTCGGACTCTACTAACATTATTTTAGGATGCATACCTCTAAGATCTCCCACAATGTCCTCCAACAGTACAACGAGATGATACAGGACACAGCATATAATCTGGAGCTCCATCTACGGCGGATCGATGAGAAGATGACGCGTTCAAATGTCGAGAACACTAGTACTTCAGGTGTAAGCATAGACCTGGAAGACGAAAGAGAAGTGACCAGACAATGCCTTCGTATTTGTGAAGACGCGAGGTCTTATATTGAATCCTTATCAGTCCGAGAATCGTCTCTACTTCCCGAGATGCCCCCAAACGCTGTCGAAGAACATTCCTTCGAAGCGCAGGTGCGAACGCGTCAAGCTCTAGATGACAATCGAGAGAGCTTCGCAGAGATCATCGCCTACCTTCGCAAACGCCTAGATCTCCTAATCCGGGATGACGACCCTGAAAAGGATAATGAGAGATCGCAATTACAGGCAGATATCAATATTTCAAAGCAGTGCCTTGATGTTTGCAAGATGGCTAGCGAAGTTTCACGTCAGAAGGTGTATAGAATTGGGGAGGTGATTGCCGAAGGTGACAGCGATCAAGTCGTGGTGACTACTTTAGCGGATCTATTCGATATCAGGAAAGCGCTGTCAAAGGACAATTCAGCGCAGCTGGTTGGCTCAATGGAGGCGGAGAATCTTCGGATTCTCACTGAGAAGCGGTATAGCAGTCGTTTTGGAACCTTAGCTGGTCACTCCAACCCTGCTGAAGCTGGCACCACCAGCTCCCCTACAGCCTTCGAGGCTCAGAGGAGTAAATATGCTTTCGCGCCCCAAACTGGTAATCACGAGCAGACTCCTGGACTGCGAGCCAGACAAGATAGGCCGTCCCCCAACGAGATGAGAAAACGGCCCACCGATGGTGCTATGGACCAAGAGAAAGGTTGGACAGCAGAGAAGCGATGAAAGAGCGGCATCAGAGGTGAATTGGTGCTGTATGAGGGTCGAGTATATTCTCTGCTTGACCAGTTCAGCGATTCCATTCCCTGTTGTGTTTTCAGTCATCTCCAGTGTCTTGACGCCTTCGCCGCTTGCTCTCGTCATGGGGTAAAGCTGGCCCGCAATGAGGCAATCTCCCTCATCGTTGCAGCCGCTCCAGCCAAAAAGGCGGCCATTATAATGCGATCGTCGAGAAGATCAAGAACCTTGGTGCGGCTCGCCAGGGTTGTTCTGATGGTCGACAATACCGCCCTGGTAAGTGTCTGTTTAACCGGAGGGGCGTGCTAACGTTACCCTCAGTTGTCTGGCCATTGGACTGCGGACACCAAAGACTTTTACATTCCTGTGGAATGGGGAGCTTTCGTGCATCAGGTCATGTCAGGACAGGCTGCACTATTGGCAGAGGCGGTTCGAAAAGATCTTGACACCTTGACGAAGTGTCATATGCTACGACCACTAGAATATTTTGGTCAACGCTTCGTCCAGGCGCAGTGGAGAGATTTCGCGGTTGCTCTTGTCTACACTTATGTCGATGTCGAACCCCGACCTGGCAAGATCTGCGCCCTTGGTGCAATGCAAGGCACCTCAAACGAACCCATCTTCCCCGAATGCACTCGGTCCTTCCGTGTGCCGGGAGGCTCTTGCTCCGTCACCTTCTGAACGGCGATTGTTCTTCTTGTTCACTCCTGCAGCTGGTCACGAGAGGAGGGTTTCCACTCAGTCTCCTGTGCCTTCGTCACAATCAATCAAGGAAGAGCATTCGTCTAGTTGGAGCCAAAAGTTGCGCAAAGGCGAAGACAATCTTCTGTACACTCCGGCAGACAAAGGCAAGCAGTCGAGAGTCAGTTCACTGGAGGAGAGTGAAAAGTCTGGTGTTTGTAACATGCGGTCGATATCTCTTTGTACGGCTGAGCCATGCAAATCCATGCTGGACACGTGTGGTGGTGTGGTTGTGTGGGACGTCTCCGAACGTTTGCATCCCAGAATATGGGCAAGCGACTGGACCTACGAGCAAACCCGAACCGTTGGCTAGTATTGGCTCAGCAGGTCGTTTCTCACAGGACATTATATAAGACATCTTATTGCTAAGAATGATGTCTAGGTTGGCCAGTTAGCATTGCAGGCCCACCGACAACTCCAAAACGTGCAGTTCAAGCTCCATATCCACCAGACCCTTTGGAGACGTTGCCTGGCCCTCGGAGTTGCTACCTGGCGACCGGTTTCCATTTTGTGTTCATTCCATTCTTCCCTCGCGACCACTTGGATCGTGTGCAGAGTGTTAGTCCTTACATCCGTGCCGCACAGCCTCGTACTCTTGAAATTGAGACAGCAATTTAGGTGAATGTGAGAGGCGTACTACTGTGCTACCACGAGGTAGGTGAGGGCTGTTCCCTATCGAAGCAAATGGTTGACGCTCTGATATGTTTTCAGCGAAACAATTGATAAAACAAGGCAGAGGCGGCAAGATATTGGGAGCATGTTCCACTGCCGGTTTCCGCCCGGTAAACCTCATCCAAATCAGTCTGCGAGATATCTATTAATATATCTGACAACATCCATCTCAGGTCGGAAACACGGTGGCATATTCGACATCAAAATGGGCCGTGCTCGAGTTCGCGAGATACAACATCAACCTAAGCACTCTCATGAACGAGGGGACTGTGGTGATGTGCCACAAGTCAACGCATACGCCCCAGGACCCGTGGGAACAAGCGTCTGTGACAAAGAAATACTTCTTCTGCAAACCTAGCACCAGAATAACAAGAACCAGATGTGGCAGGCGATCGATTCCGCCTTAGCGGAAAAGAATAATCTCCAACCAGGCGTCGCTTTCCAAAATTCCATTGCAACACGCTCAGCACTGAAACGGGCTCCGGTAGCGTTTTGACTTCTCTCCCTGTGACCCGCGGATTCCGAACCAATTCTTTTTTTTCCCCTCATGGCAACGACAACAAATAATCCTCGCTCGCGGAGAGTCACTATATCGACTAGTAATCGCGGAATCACGCATTCTCAACGTATCCGAAGGTTATATTATTTTAAGATGAGCGTTGTAAACACGAGTTTAGCGCGGCGCGTAGTAATTCTTCGTTGACGATTTGTTGTCGCTGGAAACGGTTGATGTTATAGATTGAGGGGGATATTATTATTAATAATACTAGGATAAACCCCATAGTACCTACTGGTAGTTTACCGAACAGGACCCTGTACCTCGTACCTTGTACATCTGGGGGATTCAATGGTCCACGGAATCCTGGGCAACCTGGGGTAATTACCTCGTATCCCTGCAAAAGCCTAGTCTGCCCAAACACATCCCCGACCTCATGGCTCCCCAGTTAGTCCTCACTATGGCCGACATGTCAAAACTTGAAGCTTCTCTAAAGAACTGACAGCGAGGTTTTGCGTTCGACACGGCTTTGTCAGTGGCTGTCTTTCTCTCCGACTGCTATGATTTGGCATCTCATCTCGGACGAGGATAAAGTCTTCACTGCCCTGAAGGCTTCTCAAAAAGGGGCTGAGGAAAGATGAATCGCCAGCAGCCGTTCGCACGATCTTGGCTCCAAGACAACGTGGCAGAAGCTGGCCAATGCAGTCAAATTTGCTACTTAGCCGGGATCGCATGCGCTGTATTTAGCTCTGCAGCCTGATTGCTTGGCCCACCAGGCCGGGATGTCCGCACTGTCCTGGGCAACTAACTTCGACATCTTGAGTCTTCAGTGTTATCAGACTCAGTAGCAAGGTGAAAAGTTCTCTCAGATTCGCTCGGGAATCTGCTCCTGACTTTCCACAATGTCAGAGGGCGAGCAGTCAGCGGCGAGATCAGCGATGCGGTCCCATCTTCTCTGCGACAGCTGCAAATCGTTCTGGGAGAGAGCGACGTGTCTGAATTTCACTTTCACCGAGCTAGCTCAAGGAGGCAGAGAGCTTGTTCCTGCCATGCCGCAGTATCTGCTCCATTCCAGTAGCCAGGCTGCGGTCAGAGAGGCCGCTGAGTCTGGCTGCCATTTCTGCTCCATCTTGGTCGGCTGTCTCACAGGATGCACGGGCGACCACGGGGCTCGAGAGCGGCAACGTCGACCTCAGGATCCTCTGTACATTTCGATCAATTTGCAGGATCAAAAGCCGGGCACGTTTTTATTGATCCTGTTTCCCTGCGAGGAGTCGCAAATCTTGGACTCGTACATGGACTACACATTACAGTTAGCCCCAGTCGAGAGTAAGAATGCACACTGGCGAAATTCTAAATGCTGATTGCGTGGCAGGTGATACACTCGAGACGACGCCCGACGATGAATTGACAGCATCGCGGGCGCAGACTTCCACATACTCCGAAGCCACCGCCGAGCTCATTAGATCGTGGATCATCCAATGTCAGGCAGAACATCCAGTTTGCAGAGAGAAGCACTCTACTCTCTTGCAGGGGCAAAGGCCCTCCATGCTGGGTCCAAGGCGTTTGTTGGATTTACAAGCATTCCAGACGCCGGGGCGAATCCGGCTCATTGAAGTAGAGAATGAACCATGGTTGCCATACTGCGCTCTGAGTTACAGTTGGGGTCGCAGCGAGCCATACCTGTTGACGGTGCACAATCTGAGCGACTTCCGCAAAGAGATTCACCTCTCAAATCTGCCAAAGACATTTCGGGACGCGATTGAAGTTGTAAAGGGAATCGGCTTGCGATACCTATGGGCCGATGCTCTTTGTATTTTGCAAGGTGGCGAGACTTCTCCTGTTGCTTCCGAAGATTGGTTCGACCAAACAGGCAAAATGAGCGACATTTTCGGCAACTCGCTCATTACCATCGCTGCATCCGAAGCTCACGACGGGAGCCAGGGTTTCATTACCAGTCGAAACCCGTTGAGCCATACGATCTGCCGTTTAGACCTGGAGACCAGGCTTCGCTTTGAGGTTATTCCACCCTGCACACCCTACTGTAAGTCTCATCCATTCGATAACGCACAGTATCACCTGGACACAAGGTCATGGGTGTTGCAAGAGCGTCTGCTCTCTCCTCGAACAATCCACTTTACCCGCAATTTCGTCCATCTCGAATGCAGGTCCGAAATTCAATGTGAGGCGATATCCCAGATCAAGAACTGCCATCATATAGGTTCACACGTGAAGTTAGAATATCAGAGCCTATTCGCAATCCTTTTTGGCCTGGAGATGGACGGCCTTCGCGAAATGGCAGAAGAACAATTCCTCACTACCTGGCACAGAATTGTTAGAAAATACTCGACAACAAATCTCAAGTGGCCTTCTGACTTATTAGTAGCTCTGTCAGGTCTTATGAAGCCTCTTCAGGACAATTTCCACCTGACATGGTCCTTTGGTCTATGCCGGGATTTTATGTTGAGGGAGATGTTGTGGTATGTGAGAGGAGGTAGAGGTGTGCCTTCTCGGGACAGAGCGCCAACTTGGTCTTGGGCAAGCATCGACGTGTGTGGCCCTGAGATCGTTAACGAGCCCTCTAGCCTCACAACCCTCATTGCATGCGTCACAGCTTTGCCTGAGGCCATAACCCTCACGCGCCAGCCTCCCTTGTCAGAGCATGAGTCGCGATTCTGTGTCAAAGTAGTGGGCCGATTGAAACCTGGCGTCCCAAGTTCAATGAAGCCGCACCCGAACGCACCTTCAAGCAAGTCTCTCAGCAACAGAAATAAGGTCCGTGTTCATCGGTTCTGTCGGGCTATACCATGGCACCATCCAGAATGTCCATTTCATCCAGACTACAAACTTCCGGAGGGCCTGCACCTATACAGCTTGTTAGTTGCCTGTGGGTCAGATACCGAGATCGGGCTGGTTCTGACACCTGTCACAGAACGTCGGCGACGATATAGAAGAGTAGGCTATTTTCATCACAGCATGCAGGGTAGAACTGATACGAGGAACTACAAACCACTGTCTTCATTTTTTGATGAGCGTTGCAAGATGCAGGAAGTCGAAATTGTTTGAGAAATTTAGATGAATCGGGGGTTGGATTGGGTTCTGTTGACTGTAGTGTGAGGAATAATAGAGAGAAAGATATGGCGCGATAGCAGGAGAGCACAATATCTCAGAGATCGGGCCCATATGATACTGTGCTTGGAATCCTCCAAGAGGGGTCGAGCGTAATCTTGGACTTGAATGCATCGGAATCAACATGGATCAACTGTATTCTCTTCTAAAGAGAACCCCTAGACTTCGTGCTGCTTGGATTGTGACACAACAAAGTGTAGAGGCGTGCATCGGGTTGGAAGCGTGCCCTGCTGCCAGGGTGGGAAGTAAGTCACCGTACACTCGAACATGATCACAGCCGTAGGCCACAAGGAGAGAGTTCTCTTCCATCAATGAGCTTTGAGTAAGCCTGAGCTGCCTTGTGTCAGCTGTAGCATAAATACACTGTTTGATAGCATTTCAAGATTTGACGATGGTGGGAAGAGGTTAGGATCGGTGCCGCGTAGGGTTGCCCAGGACGAGGTTTGGAGAGCCGTCTTAAGAAACATGATCGTTTGAGAACCTGATGTCTTGGAAGGGGGCCCGCAGTAGAAGGATTGGGCAGTCACACCGTCGCAGACGCAGCTACCGTAGGACGACATGGTCAGGTTGATGCATGTGGTGAGAGGGCGAGCTGGACGACGTGAAGGATCGAGGACCTGGGGTTGTCAGGAGTCAGGAGATGCTCGCCGCGCCGTCCATCGGAGGAAACTTAGCCGAGAGCAAATGTCCCGGTTACTGCCCATGCCTCCGATTTCGTGGCTACCACGTCACCAGTTGTTACGGAGTATTCTGATTCTTATCGTCACGTCGGTTGCTGTCTACGCCTGTTTGATCACTCTTGCCCGTCACGTAATTTCGTTGTCTCAAATGCCAACGCCAATCTAGCCGTATTTCAGCCTTCACCTCAATCCACTTGATCTAGGCCAGTCTCTGAAGACTACAACCATGGCCAGCTCACCTCCATCCCCCTTCCCCACAAGCCTCCCGAATCCCAAGAAGCGAGCATCCATGAGTTCACAGGCATCGGCGCAAGGAGCATCCAAAAGACCGAAGCTACATCCTCTCAGACAAACCTCATTTCCCGCTCAAGATGCCAGTGGACGCTATGCTCCCGCGGTCACGAGCGCCCGCTCCGAAACCGGGAGCGTCGCAAATAGTCTCTTGTCCGGAGTGAGCGGTAAAGTCCCTGGCCGCGGAAGAGGAAGACCTCGAAAATCACAACAAATCAACGACGAAGATACTCGCTCTGTACGTCAGGCTCCGGCAGATACAGCCAGCCAGGTTGAAAGTAGTTCACGAAATGCCGGTCGCGGAACGAAGTCGGTGGTCAGCGCTCGCTCAGGTGCAGCGGAGCAGGAAGAGGATGACGAAGGTGATATTGATGGCATGTTTGAGACCATGGATGAGCAAGAGAGACGGCAAGCCGAAGAAGAGGAAACACGACAGGAGCAGCGCCGTGAGCGACTGGCCGATACACTTGACACGGACCAATATGCGCGATACAATCAGTGGCGGGCTCTTTCACTCAACCTCGCCACAGTGAGGCGGCTGGTCAATTCTGTCGTTTCGCAGTCGGTCACGTCTGCTCCTTTGCAAGCAGTTAGAATCTACGGCAAATGGTTTGTGGGCGAGATTGTGGAAAGGGCGCGTGAAGTGCAGATCGAATGGGCAAAGGCGTACGAGGAGACGCGACAGGAGGAGCGGGATCGCCGACAGAAGGAGCTAGAGGACCGGGAGAAGAAGCAGAAGGAAGGCAACATTTCCGATCAACAGTCCCGACTGTTGGCGACAGAGATTGAGCGACTGAGGAGGGAGGTTGAGGAATACATACCAAATCCACACAAGGGGGGGCTTTTACCGGATCACCTTCGAGAGGCTTTGCGGAGATACAAGGCTGACGGTGAAGGCGGAGGTGTCGGATTTGAAGGGTCGAGCCACGGTCTACTAGGAGTGCAGGGGCCGGTGGCCTGGAGAGTTGGTGATGGTGCGTCTGGCAGACGACTCTTGAGATAGCGGATATCATCAACCCTCGATACCCTGGTGAGAAGTTAGCGTATCTCTAGGACTGTTGGTCCACACATTCCTTACTCGGTATTCTCTGACTATTCAACGCACGATGTGATTCTTCTGGAAGTTGTAAGCGACACTGAACTCGCCTCAAGACGACAGCCTGGCTCTTAACTCTATGGTTTCTTATTCTGTATCGATGCGCCGATTGATCGCTCGTCCCTCAGGAACTAATTCAAGCGGAGTGGAGTGACTGTGCAGGCGATAGCTGGTGGGCTAAGGCAGAGGGCTACCGACTACTTTGTCTAAAGAGTAGCTGAGCCCGCCAGCCCAAGCTGAGCCCGCCAGCCCAAGCTGAGCCCTAAGCGAGCGAATAAGGCTGGTGAGGCTGAAGCCTGCTTTGCCCTTCAACCAACCACCAACATCTTAACAGACCAAGAGAGAGGTGAGCTGCAGAGTGCGCGGATGATCATCCTATTTCAACCAATCGTCCATTCATCCCGCCGTTTTTTCTTTCCTCAGCGGGTTTACTCCATATGCACGCATGACTTCTGGGTGTTTTGTCGCCCGTGCAGACCTAAAGACACCGACTACTGGGAGACTGGTTGGGCTTCTTTGACCTTTAGCCTACTCGCTACCCAGGAACTCGGTACACCGAAGGAGGCCCAATGTTGCAATGCCAGAACAGCACGCCTGACCAGCGAAGCCGATGTGGCCCTAACTGTTGGACGCAGCTTTGCGAAGCCGATCAAGTTTCCTCGATGCCACACGGCCACTAATAAGATACTGGGTATTACATATCTATCCTGGTCATCACGCCTTTTTCTTTCTTTTTTTCCCCCTTCCCCGCTTTATTCCCGAGCAGTGAACACGCTGCGTTGCGTGGTGCGAGCTCGTTCTGCCATGGCAGATGTCTCCGTTGGACAGACCTGCGGCTGCACAACGAAGCAGCTACTACTCGCTAGAAGGCTCTGCCTTTCTAGATAACTACACCCCAGAAATAGTCCGTGCTGGTACCTTGACCCAGAAGATCGACGGCCTCTTCAAACGCCAAAAGACTACCTGGCAGGACATTGAACGGAGGTTCGAGCGGAAATCGAGACCATGGAATCCACTCCTCGACTACCTTTGGAATCGCAGATATCCCCTTCGTGCACTGTTGCCCATCGCTGCAGCCGTCCTAGAGTTAATCTTACTGTTGTTTCTCTTCTGCACGTACTACACCTTACCTGCTGATCCACATACCGGAGCAAAGCCACCTCGGGTCGCTGACCTGTACTCTATATTTCCCTTCATCAGCTGTGTGGGCTCGAAGAGACTGTCGGTCTATCAAGGTCTAACCTTCTGCGTGGTGATTCTCAGTATTACGTCGACCGCCATCAGCTTCTATTTCAACCGTGACGACCAGTTGGGCTGGCAGACACGTCGAACAGGATGGCTCGCAAGCGTCGTGGGAGCTGGACTGAGCATCTGGGTCGTCTTTGCCGCAGCGACGCCTAATAGGCACCTGCACCTTCTTGTTACCGCAGTCAAGGCGATTATGGTCTTTTCCATCAAATCTACAGGGATGCTGGTTGATCACCTGGAACGCCGAAAATATCCTGCGCTTCGAGAGGTTGGTGTGATCAAGGTGCTGCTGTGGTGGAGAGCTATAACGTTGGTCTTCGCTTTTCGTGAGTCCACGAGCGCTCTGTTCGCTCCAGCCAATTCTGACACACATGGACAGCTCTCGCCCTTATGACAAACATAGCCATCTTCGGCTGTAACGGGTCAAAGCCTGAGGAAATTCAAACCCCGGGAACCAGATGCTACCGCATCATGGCACTCGGAGCCCCGGCAGAGTGGCTGTACGCCCTCACCACAGTCTCCTGGAGCCTGGCGATCGCCTTCGACATCTACACGACGCCCATTGTGAGCAAGGTCAAGTCTCAGCAGGATCAGACAGAGATAGAACTGCTGGTATCGCCGCCGTCGTCACTCGGGCAATGGAGCACGCAGCCACACAGTCCTGAGAGTCCGGCATTCTTCTCCCACAGCAAGGACGACGAGCATACCCCCGGTCAGTCGTCGTTTGACGAAGTCGGCAGCAAGGCGAATCGTAACAGACACTACGAGGATTTTGGCGCAGAGCCGGTGGATGTTCGTGATGATTATGAGGATGGCGGTGAGCGGGAGGACGATCTCGGGCTGGAAGCACGGACAAAGGTTTGGGCGTGAATTTGAGAGCTGTATACCCAAACTCGAACCGCAGTTATGCGGATGGTGCAAATAAGAAAGATTTCAACGTTAACGGCCAGCTCCTCGGATTGAAGGACGAACATACCCTATAAAACACGGCGAGTTGAAGAAGGCGTCCCAACCGAGAGAAAAGTGATCCGATCTCAGGCTCACATTGTAGTTTCTTTTTTAAAATGACAATCAATCTCAAAGTATATAAGGGAAAAAGTTGAGGTGCGATTCCACCAGTTCCTGTTCCTCCCTCCTGACAACATTGCAATTCACCCAACTTGCAAAGCATGAAGACAATAAATACAGCTTTTGAGACAAGAGTCAGAGGGGTAAGAGCCTTTTTCGACCCATTCGCTGAGACTTGCCCTCTTCTGCTCTTCTCTCGCTTGCTCTGAGTTGAACGCTCTATTGACCTCCGCATTTTCTCACTGGTAGATAGAAAATTACTTCTCCTCATCCTCCTCCTCTGTTTGGCGGTCATAGATGGTGATCACTGTTCCGGACATATATAGGACCAGTGACTGACCCCGGGATGCCTGCTGGCATGCTTGGCGAACTGATTATCAGCCTCGTTCGACGGGCACACTCTTTTGTCGATACACTTTTGCTCGTCGCAGAGATAGAACCCGCTGCTCCAAAGCGAGTTCAGGCATGACCGGCACTCGAAGCCACGGAATTGGTACTTGAAATAGGCTTCATCTCCCAGCTTCAGCATTGAGAGAAAAAATAATTGTGGTATGAGGAGAATGGAAGGGGAAGAAAGGGGAGTTGACTGACCATGACCTTCATGAGTTGGGGCAGCGCATTTGATTCGGAGTAGGGAATAATGCATCTTGTGAAGGGTGAGATCTCGTAGGCCGTCAGGTCTGTTAAGATCCGCTTCAAGGGGAGGAAATGGATCCCTGTGAGGAAGATGGTTGACGAGATGCTTGGTCCGGCAAAAGCTGCAATAGACGTTTTCGCAATCCACGCAGAAGCCGTGTTTCTTTGCGGGCTGTCCATCGACAGGATGAAGCTTCCCCACTTTCATGGCTATAATTCCATCTCTGTTAGCTACTCACTTTCCCGTTGCAAAGGCCGCCAGAAAGGTGCTTACCGTCGTTACACATGAAACATCTCAACCCCTTCTGGCCTTTTATCCTCGGGTGCTTTTGCTCGGCCCGTTTAGGACAGTCTTGGTATGTAATAGACCGCCATATCTCATATCGCTGACTAGGAATGTGCAGCTCGTAAAAAGAAATATCCTCCGTGTTGCTGCAGTTGTGTTCGACGACGGCGTCAATGAGGCGCGTTGGATCCTCGGCATGGATATCTAAGCTTTTTGTTACCGACGCTGTCTGAAGGAAATATAGGTCCACGGTTAGACCTCGAAATGGCACTTACGTTGGTTGCAAGTATTACACCGAAGAGATTCATGTTCTTCAATGAATCTGATACGAATCGCATACCAATACTTATGGTCGTCTGTGTGTTGAGCCATCTTGGAACCTTTGAAGCAACTTCTGCACAGGAGTTGACTGCTGTGGTTGTCTCGCATACATATCTTGCAGAAGTAAATCGTGTCATCCAGTCCATCGGGAGCGGGAAGTGCTTCAGTCGTTTCAGGTTAGTGACATAACGGAAAAGGGTGTATTTGAGCTCAACCCAACTATCTCTGCACGGTTGGCGAAACCGAAGAAGAGTAGACTCACGCTTAAAACAGTATTGGCAATGAGAGACACAGCACGGCATTTGGCCGTGATTCTCGCAATCACAGTTAAGATCGCCACGTTTTCTGAAAATCCCCGCTCCATCCTCTTGGGCGGCTAGGTCGTCAACATGCCACTGCGTAGGCCGGATTATACGGAATGAATTGTGTATGCCATTTCCATGTTGTACTTGCTGGTCGTTAGGTAAGCATTTGGCGCATTTCCCAAAAGTACAACCCCGGATTTGACATTCAATCCCGCAGAGAATCTTTCCGCTGCAGCATATGCATGTCCGTAAGCTATTGAGATCGTGCGTCCAACGTATCGCAGTGACGGCGTAGACTCTATGCTCTGTGGAGTGTTTCTCTGTACACTTATCGCAGAAAAACACAAAGCAAGTATCGCACAGCTTGTGCGGCTTCTCAAACTTGATCCCTAATGAAAGATTATTTACGGTACCATTTAACGGAGTTTATGGAATTCGGCCAACCTTGGTGACAGGAAGCGCAGACCTCGGCGAATGTGTTCTTGTCTTGCACCTTCATAGCATCTGTAGTTTCTTTGTTAACTTCCGTTTCGCAGCATATCTTTCAATTGGGGACAATTTTAAAACAATACCTTTCATTCGTTCTTCAGACATGATAGCCTCAACATACTCATTAAGCCTTGGCTCCACTGTTAGTCTGCTAAGATAGTCGCCGACCGCTTGTGCTATTTCACGACCTTCTTGGAGCTCTGCCAAGCCGATCCTATCCATTTCTTCTTCGACATTGAATCTGTAGTAGGGATGCTGGTGACGTATTATGTGCTCAAAATCATCTGCCACCTTTTCTGCCTCATGGAACGCCTCTTCCAGATCAGTCTTCCCTTTTTGGAGCAGCTCCAGTACCGATGCTAAGTATTAAGAACTTCCTGTCCTTCCAAAGCTCCTGGGCTTCGCAAAACAGGAGGTTGATTGGGTTGTTCCATTGCAGAGGTACCTTTGTGTAGTTGTGACGGGGCAAGTGTTTGTCTTCTTCATCGCAGAAGGGGACGAAGCCAGGGCCAGCTGCAACTGTCGCGCATGCGGCTTCCCACATCTTCAGTTCACGGAACTCTAGTTGTTGATATTCGGCGTTCCTGTAAGTTCGCAGCATCCGTGGTCTGATATGCCCCGTGTGTCAACCAGTCAAAAAGCTGTAAAGCGAATTAGCATTTGAGGAGGAAGGAATCTGCGCTGAAGGATTCACATACGTCTTGCACGGGACTTCAAGGTCAGGGTCTTTGAGCAGCTCCGTCTCACTATCACGGTTCCATCTCATTCTCTGGAACAAGTCCTTCAGCCACACTTTTACGGGATCTGTTCGAAATTCCGCTTCAACTTTGCTTAGTGCTTGAACCTCCTGAGCAACTTCATATGAAGTGTCAAGGTCCCGACTCATATGGTCACTCAGCTTCCGTACAACCTCGGAGCTGTGGAAGATCTTGCCCAAAAGATCTGTGTATGCCTCTTCCACTTTGTCCAATGGCATATGGAGGCGACCGAGCATCAAGGCAACAAGTCTATTGAGGGTAAGTATCCATCCAGTTCACATACTTATTAGACACTGGGAAGTGGATAAATGACCTACCCACCCACTCCAGTACCACCAATGAGATCGAAAACCTCGTACGGCTGTAGTTTGTCTGCCCGATCATGGTTTATTTTCGCCATGATGTGTTTGAGAACCATGACAGCTGACAATCCCCGAAGACCTCCTCCATCAATAGAGAGCAGTCGAATATGTTCAGACGTCGTCATTTCGAGTTAGGGGAGACTTATTACGGGGTCTTAGATGATAGGATGATTTCGATTTGCTTTTTAATTTGTATTCTTAATAGAAGGGGGGACAAAGTTGCTTGAGTCCGGCGAGACCTGTAACTCCATTAAAATATCATCTACATCACATACAACCTCACATTTTATGGGTCATACGACAATGAGCAGCCCCCATCTCTCTTATGATGTCGAAATACAAGTTCCCTTGGGCACCTACGGGGCTCGCTTTGTTGTCGCCACCACTATCGACATCAACCCGATCTGTAGCTTCGCTAAATGCAGTGATGGCATGATAAGTCGTCGAATTAGGCATGTCACGCTATCACGCGGTCTTGAAATGTGCGGAAAAAGCGATGGAGACAGCTGGCGGCTTCTGCTTTGGTCAGAGCAAAAAGGATACCTGTTCTCGGATTTCTCTCGCCACTTGCCTATCTCCTAGCCGAGTCACACTCGCCATGATTTGGACTCATCCAGGGGTCTTCTGTGTCATCAGTTTCGTGCAAATCCATTGTTTACCTGCTCAATGTGGTCTTTGGAGGGGTCAGTTTCGTGTTTGGATCCCCAGTGTCTGACCATATTGAAAAGCACGTCGCTAGTAAGTGCGGCACCAACCTCCGCATTTGCAACTCGAAGCGAACGGTCGAACCACAGTTGCAGAGTAGTGGCTAAACCTGCACGTGTATACGAGTTTGGAGGTCGCGGCTGAACGCCTCGCCAACCTCCCCACGCTCAATGGACACTTCTAGCCAAATGCAGCAACGATCAGTCCACCTCAATCTCGATTCTCTGATCTCAAGTCTCGCGACAATTCACCTAGATGGTATTGCAAATGTGCATAATGTGCCAGTACTACAAATAGATGACCATAGCTGTTTGTCGTGAATGCGTTCGGAGCACGTTAGCGAGTTGAAAAGGGGCAAGTCGATTTTGACGATGTGCTGGTGTTTTAGAGTTTGTTCCTAAATCCCCCGACGGGGAGATGCAACTCTATTGTGCGGAATAATGTTTATCCGACAGAATTGCTCGCTTCCCCCATGTGCATAGGTCTACGTCGTCTTGGCACAGCCAGACACAGCTCAGTTTCGGTCATCACACTCTTGCATCGCAAATCGTCACTGTGCTCATGGCGTGATGGCCTCTTCATCAACTTGCATGCATTGCCTGAGGTGAAGAGACTTTCACTGCCTACCCAATATGACAACTCCTGTCGGACGCAATCCATGTCATACACTTCAAGGTAATCAAAGCCATCCTCCAGAACCGCATCGTTCTGTTATTCTCCATCTTGAAGTCCTAACGGACATAGGGCTCCTTGGCCTCTTTTGGAGATTAAAAACCTGTATTTTGGACAATTGCCATCTCTGAGATGCTATGACCAATATTGCCCCGTACCGATGGCACCTCTCCGTCATAAAAAAGCCCTTTCCCCACAGTTATGCCAACAACTACCCAGACAAATCAACCAAGACAGCTGGGACACAGAGGCATTACACTGGAATAGATTGTAAGCTTCCATAAACGTCTACATCCTATGGTCATCCTAAAAGTGAATCAAGAGATTCCCTCCTCCTCCTCCTCCTCCTCCTCCTCTTCCTCCT